ACTCCCTCTCCTCTCTCTCCAACGCCAGCTGATCGTCACGGGCACGGCGAACACGAGCCTGGTGCCTAGTCGGGTAGGGGTGGGGGGGCGGAGTAGTGTCCGAAGCAGCGGCAGCTCCAGAGTCCACTCCAGAAGAACTAGGCTCACCACCCCCAGAGGCAGCACTAACACCAGCTCCAGACCCAGGCTCACCTGAACCCAAAGGAGGCGCACCCTCACCCCCAGACGCAGCACCCCCAGTGTCCGCGCGGCCAGCACCAGCTCCCGGACGACAAGCGTCCTCTGCACCCACCTGGTCAGCTCCAACTCCAGAACCAGAAACTCCAGCTCCAACCCCAGCTCCAACTCCAGCACCCCCAGAACCAGAAACTCCAGTGCCAACTCCAGCTCCAACTCCAGCTCCAACTCCAGCTCTAACTCCAGCACCCCCAGAACCAGAAACCGGTACAGGAACAGGCGTCGCACCAACCTCTCGAGAGCTAGCACCAGCGGCACGCTGCGAGGAGGACTGTGGGGAGGGAGGCTGTACCGGAGGGGCTACCGAAGGAGGAGGGGTAGCCTGGGACACACCTGACGGGGCTGGACCAGGGGGGGGAGGCTGTACCGGGGGAGCAGGAGGGGGAACGGCAGTCAGGAAGAGGGGGGGAGGAGGAACCGGGAGACCTCGACTGGGGTACCTGACGTAGTACGGAGTGGACTCCTCGAAACGGACGTCACGGGAGTCAAAGAACCGGTGAGAGGGAGGGTGGTAAAAGGTGAAGTCAGAGGAGTCCTCAGGGAAACCAAGGAAGACACAGGGGACGGCACGAGGCGAGAGCTTGTCCGCGGAGGTGTCGCGGACAAGAGCCAAGCACCCCCAGACACGAAACCGCGACGCAACACCAGGGAACCCTGTCCAAAGACTGGTCGGTGAAACCTCTGGTCGAGAGACACGTGGCCAGAGGTTCAGCTGGTGCGCGGCGTACCTGACCGCGTAGGGCCACAGAAAATGGGGGGCACAGGCGTGAGTCAGGGAGGTGCGGGCGATCTCCATGACCAGGCCTATGCGGCGCTCAGCAACCCCATTCTGCTGTGGGGACTCTGGAAGCGTCCAGGACTGACGAATGCCCTGCTCGCGACAGAATCCAGCGAGAATGCCGGAGCGAAACTCACCCCCACGGTCGGAGTGGAGACAGCTGACACGACGACCACGAGTGTCCTCGGTGGTGAGCAACCACCTGATCAGCGTAGAAGTCACCTCAGACTTCTTCGCCAGAGGGAACACTGTGGTGTAGCGGGAGAAGTCGTCAACGACCACCAGAAAGTAACGCTCACGCTCAGGGCCTAGACGAGGGGCTGGGCCCCAGACGTCCAAGTGAAGCGTCTCAAAAGGCTCGGTGGCCGGACGAAGGGAGGAGGAGTGAGGGGTGGCGCGCAGCCTACCCTCGACGCAGGGACGACACGGCGGCGCAGGCGAAGGCGGCAGCGACGGCAAGACACGTGGGAGGCCTAGGACAAGACGCTGACTAGACATAGCGCGCAGACGTGGAAGGGACGGGTGCCCCATCCGGTGGTGCCACAGAACGGTGGGGTGGGCAAGCGACCGGCAGGAGCACGACGCAGCGACTGGAACAGACGGAGGAACCTGACACGACACAGACACCTGGGGGGACGTAGCAACCTGGTGAGACGCGGGGACCCGAACGGGGGGGGGAACCGGGGGCAGTGGCAGTAGGGGGGGCTGCTGGTGCGGCCGCTGGTGCTGCTGCTGCTGCTGCTGCTGCTGCGGCTGCGGCTGCTGCTGCTGCTGCGGCTGCTGCTGCTGCGGCGCACGCGGGCCAGTGTGAAGAGTGTAGAGACCCGAGCCCGGCTCAGCAGTAAAGGTAGCAAGAGGCTGGTAAGAGTCTCCGTCAACACACACCGCAGTCTCTCCAGAAGGCTCAAACCACACACCCACGTGCTGGCTCACGAGGGGTCGCACGCCCACCAAGTTCCGGGAGAACGAGGGGACGTGAAACCCAGTGAGAGACCCGGAGGGAGCAGCAGGACACGGTAAAGTGGTAGTGTGACGTGCAGTGACTGGTCCCGTAGTGGGATCAGCCAACGCTACAGAAACAGGCGCAGGAAGTGGTGTAAGTGTCGTGCTGTCCCGAAAGAAGCAGTGGGAGGCTCCAGAGTCCAGTGTGAACGACAGCGAAGCGTCCTCTGAGGTAGTCGCTGGTCTAGAGTCTACACAAGTACCTACACTAGCAACAGGCAACTCAGCAAGACTAGCACCTAAGCTAACAACACCAGAGTAAACAGAGTCAGAAACACTAGAGTCAACAACAGCATACATAGCATGAGGAGCACTAATCAGATCAACTAACTGCTCAGCAGACATGCCCCACAGAGCGGAGCCGTAGCGCTGAACCAGAGGAAGCCAGTCAGGAGCAGGACCGCCAACCCCGTAGGTCAACCGGACCGTGTCAGTGAGCTGAGCAAAGCACTGACCAGGGGGGTGAAAGCGGCCACAAGGGTGGCCCCGACGAGGACCTGTCTGAACCTGGTAGGGGCAGGGAGGGTAAGCAGCACCGCGCTGGGGCTGACGCAGCCCCGACCCCGGAGCCAGCTGCTGACGCTGCTGCTGCTGAGGCTGCTGGGAGGAAAGGGGCTGCTGCTGCTGCTGAAGGTGCTGCTGACGCTGAGCCTGGTACCACGCCGCTGCTCCACCTAGCGGGGCCGACAGTACAGGAGGCGACTGACGAGCTCGAGGGTCGCTGCCACCAGCAGGTGCAGTGGAGTCACCGGCCGCTGCACGAGGGGTCTCTCCAGACGCTGCACTCCCACCACCGCCAGTCGCAACAGCACCCCCACTACCTCCGCTACCTCCGCCTCCACCTCCACCGGAACCACCTTTCTTGCCCCCCCTGCCGCGGGACCGCGACGCAGTCGTAACAGCAGCCGCAGTCGCGTCAGTAGCGGCAGTGGCAAGAGAGGCAGTGAAGGTGGGTAACTGCGGGACTGTGCACCCGTGGAAGAGTGGGGGGGATACAGTACCAGAGGCGGCAGCTACCGAACGAAGGTTGCTCTCGACATCCTTGAGTGCAGACTCAAGGACCTCGATAGTCAGCTCACTAGGGTGCTTCAGCAGAAGCGCGTCACGAACGGAGGCAAGGCGGTCAGGGAGGCTAGTGGCGATGAAATAGACAGTAATCGCCATGGGGGGAGGAAGCAGTGCAAGCTGTGCCTCAGTGCAAGCAGCGCGGTAACTAGCGTCAAGCGAGCGGAGGTGAGCGATCAAGTCAGCAGAGCGCTCAAATGAGGCAAGATCAGGAAACAGGAACGGGAGGAAAAGACGGCCGAGAGAGACAGTAGCGGGAGTAGAGTAGCGGGCCTTAATCGCAGTGAGGTACGCAGCAACGGTGCGAACCTGAGTAAAGTGGACCTCCTCGGACTCAGGGAGGAGGCTGCTGAGTGCGATGCAGGCCGCAGCGTCACGCGACGTCCAAGCCGTCCGGTCAGCGCGCTGACGGGCAAAGCGAGCCGTAGCAGCATCGTCAGGAGCAGGGCCTAAAGCTGTAGGCTCGGGGGGCTCGGGGAGGTCACCAGTAGCGTGTGACCAGAGGGTCTCGCCCCCCTGGACCTGACTCTCTAACAGACGACGAGCGCGAAGAAGCCAGACGGAAAAGTCAAGGGGTCTACCGTCGGCGTCGAAACGAAGAACTCGCGGAGTCGCCATAGTGAGAACGAACAGGCGAGTAACAACCGGGGGGGGAAGAGGACTCAGTCGCAGCGGAAGAGTGGGCTAGGACGACGGGCCAAGACGTAGGGTAGGGCAACGGGCCAGGGCCTAGGGTAGGGCGACGGGCCAGGGCCTAGGAAGGGCGACAGGCCAGGGCCTAGGGAGGGCGACGCGACGGGGGAAAGGTCAGGGCGACGCGACGGGGCAGGGCGACGCGACGGGACAGGGCGACGCGACGGGGCAGGGCGGCGCGACGGAGCAGGGCGACGGGACAGGGCAGGGCGACGCGACGGGGTAGGGCGACGCGACGGGACAGGGCGACGGGACAGGGCAGGGCGACGCGACGGGACAGGGCAGGGCGACGCGACGGGACAGGGCGACGCGACGGGACAGGGCGACGGGACAGGGCGACGGGACAGGGCGACGCGACGGGACAGGGCGACGGGACGGGGGGGGGTAACAGGCAGGCGCGACGCGACGGGGGGAACGGGCGCGACGCGACGGGGGGGAACGGGCGCGACGCGACAGGGGGAACGGGCGCGACGCGACGGGGGGAACGGGCGCGACGCGACGGGGGGAACGGGCGCGACGTGACAGGGGGAACGGGCGTGACGCGACGGGGGGGGAACAGGCGTGACGCGACGGGGGAGATGACGCTAGGCTCGGTACTAGGCGCGGTAACTACGAAACTGGTACGAACGAGGGGTAGGATCAGGCTCGGGAGGTACGAACGGAGAACGGAGGAACGGGATCCCACAGGATCCTAACCTAGCTGATACCATGTCAGAATGAGGAATGAGTGTTGCATTGATGTTGGTTGGGGTACATATGACAAACCCTAACTTCTGTACCCCCTAAGACAAACCTCACTACAGGCTACAACATTTGACAGTTTCGCCCCAACAAGATGAAACGCTTTCATGTGGTTGCGTTATTCGGAGAGTCAGGACAGGTTGCCACTACGTCCCCACATCTTTCATGGTATTCTCCTGTACAAGTGTTACGCAATTGTTAGCTTTGAAGAACAATGGTATGCAGTTTCCCTCCTGTCATTGCGCAATACTATGTAGCGCGTACACATGCAAGCCCCCCCAATCCAAGCACTCACTGGCTGTAGAACTTCAAGTTGGAATAAGATATTGCGCTGCCAAGGTCAGGCTTGTACAGGCAGTGCAATGCAACGAAGCGAGTACAGCAGACACCAGCTTCTGCACTCGGTTCTGCTTTTTAGCAGTCAAAACCTTGACACCCACCTCTAGCCGCTTTCGCGCTGTTCCTCAGCGTGTCGACAGAACAGATGGCAAAGAAGTCGAGAGAGACGAGAAAGCGGCAGCTCGAGTTCGATCAACAGAGTAAGAACGAGGAGTCGACAGGCCGTGCGTAGGTCAATGCGCGCCAAGGTTCGCTCGAGGCTCGGATTCCTTTTTTACAACACGAGCGTCGTCCTTCGCAGCTTGGCGATAGTTAGCTGAGGGTTAGCATCTCGGCGACTCCGTCCTTTTCTGTAATGGCTAAGTGCTCGTTCAGAACGTGACAGCCTCCTAGCTCCTCCAAAACCCCCTAAATCTCTCTCTAACATCCCCCTCTCCTCCCCATCTCGCACACGCGCTTCCTTCTTTCTTTCAGGAGAAAAGGAACAGAAAGAAAAGCTGCAAAAGAAGAAGGAAGAGAAGTCCTTGAAAATGAAGGTAGGCAGAGATAGATAGGCTAGTTGTGTGCTTCCTCGGAGCAAGTAGTTTCTAAAGCCCCACTTCCTGTGCTATCTTTTCGAGGTTTGTAACTACCTAACTACCTGTTGATCGGTGGCAGGTTGATTCCAAGTCTGGTGTGGCCAAGAAGAAGAAAGCTTCTAAATATCAACTTCGGGTGCAGAAGAAGCTCCAGCTTAAAATAGGAAAGCGTGCGGCGCACAAACAGATAAAGGAATCTGCCAAGGCCTTGATGGACATAGAATAAGTAGACGTTCAAACAAAATTTGCTGTACACGTGTTGTAAGAGGTATAATAACAATTTTGTATAAAAATGCGTTAGCTTTTACTGCCCCAGGCAACTCTTGGAGGAAAAAATAACATCCGCGGTCATTGATTGGTCCTCACTTCCTCTAGCTCTTGCACAGGGTGCGCTCCCTCCACCTCCTCAACCGTCAGGTCCTCGTTTCCCCAGCTATGCTCCGCGCTGAACGTACTTCGGTCTTCTGACAGGTCGCTAGGAACTATCACGTCACACTCTGAGTCTGTGTCGGAATCGGCGTCAGGCAGCCGCGAGCATACGGTGATTAAGGCCCGAGAGCAGCCGCCGCGAATTCCGCCGGAAATGGCAGCCAAGCAGGAAAGTGCGGAGTTTGGGGTGGCTGGGCACTTTTGAGGACAAGGAAGTATCACATAGCCGTTTGTTCTCATACCCGCTGAAGCCATTCGAGTCGAAGCGACAAAACTGGAGCAAAACACAGATATGCTGCGAAGAATAGAAGACTAGTTGTCTAGTATGCTCACGGAGAGTGGAGCAGCTAATGAGCTACTCAGAAAATCGCCTGCATACCCCGCGGATGTCATTGTGAAATCGGTTATAATGAAGTCAAGATGGGAAAAGCACGGTTAACGGTGGTTAAATGACGTTTCAGTATGGTTCAACTAGGTAAACCGAAGATAACAAGGTTTTCCACCCATTCGGCACAGTTCAGTGTAGCGAGTAACAGGGTGTAGGGGTTTCAGCGAACAAGCTGTCGGCTGAAGTCTCGTAGGTTCAAAGTTGTGGTGGGTGTTCGTCGTACAAGGAGTCGCAGGCGATGTTTTTGGTCGTACAAATCCGTCGCTGGGTCGCGCCTACAGTGAACACTAGCAGGTTCGACGGCGTTTGCGAAAAATGTCGAAGGTGTGCGAGAGTAGCCATGACAGCACTGCAGCGAATCCACTTCCCCTTCGTCAGCAGGTCGAAGGGTTACGTATGGTTGCTGCTGTAATCCCAAACCGACGTTGACATGAGGCTGGTGCCAGCCAAACCCATGATCCTCGTAAGAAGCAAATTGTTGCAAAGTAAGACTAACCTTCTATGTGTACACGAGATTTCTATATTCAGTATACGTTAGCAGGAATAAAGTAAGGAATCTCGTCAGAGTAAGACGGCTCCCCCCGCTAAGGACGGGTCGGTACGTGGATGCTTTCTCTGTGATTCAAAATCGACAGCCAATACCAAGATATTCTGCGGCTCCAAGAACTTCTCTCGATAGTATCACTTAATGAGAAGACCTTGGGATGTTATGCAATTTGCCGCTGCACGAATCAGCTTCGTTCCCTCCTTTCCCTTCCTTCCTCAATTCCGCATTTCCCTCTGCACGGAAGACAGCGAGGAAAAGGGCTGAAGCAGTGGGGAATAGGCGGAAGGGTAAGCACAGCCATTCCCTCTGCAGCCGCTATGCTTCTACTTGTGGTTCTGCTATGATACGACAACGGCTTTATTATCTTGGAAGCCATACTCCAACAAACATGGCTGAGCTTGGCTAGGAGCCTCCGAGCATTCCACCGATCCCATAATGTTGTTACATGCTCAGGTTGAAAGAAGACGGCCGCGATGAGCTGATCGTCGTGCTATCTTAGTATTTAGGGTAACACATGTTTCGTTAGTATTTATTGAACCGCTATCGAATACGTTCCAAGTGGTAACCCATAGCTTATTCAGTAGCTCAGGACTTGAGCTTCCGCAACTCAATCCCGACGAATAATGCGTTAACGGGCGGAGAGTAGCGACATCGTTCTCCATATTCCTTCTCACTGTTGAACAATGACGCTTTATTTGAGCAGTAGCCGTAGGAGGCGGAGGGCTGATGGGAATAACGGAGCTGCTAAGTCTGGCATACGGGCTCGGCAGCTGAAGGCTACTATTGGGGTGGACTACAGGTTTGAAGCGCACAGACATTTTCACAACGAAAGACCTTTCTCGTCGAGACGAAAGCGTTCTAATATGCTGCATGCTGAAGCTGAAGCGCGATCAGTGGGGCATCTCTCCAACAATGAGCCTCTTAAGCGGTCCGCACCGGATACATCTAGTCAGTCTTCGTCGGACGCCGGTCGGTCGTTAGAAGTCACGGTCGCAGAGCATCGCTCCGCTCGTCGCCACCCACCGATACCGTACGACGTCACATCTGTCGCACAAGGTAACCCCGCCGGTCAAGACGCTGCAGGGGGTCTTCGCGGATCAGGCGTCGCGACAGCGCAGCAGTTTCCTTTCCCCATTCCCATTCCTCCCGCGGCGAACCGCCCTACCGGTCCCATCATTCCCGTTGACCCTCCTCCCCTCTTCAACTTCCCACCCGCACCGAACCGCCCTACCGGGCCCGTGTTCCCGTTTCCCCCGGCCCCGTCCCGACCGCCAATCAACGTGCCTCCTATCAACCCTCCGCCTACCACGTTCCCACCCCCTGTCGCTGCCCCACCTCCGCCTGCGAAAAGCCCACCGCCACCGGCTAACCCGCCTCCGAAGCCGCCCGTTAACCCGCCTCCGAAGCCGCCCGTTAACCCGCCTCCTAAGCCGCCCGTTAACCCGCCTCCTAAGCCGCCTGTTTTCCCGCCTCCTAGGCCGCCGAAGCCTCCCACTAACCCGCCTCCTAAGCCACCTATCTATCCTCCTCCTCGGCCTCCCCCCTCTCCACGCCCACCTCCTCCCGCGCCTTCTCCTCCCCCACCTCGCCCCCCCAATCCCCCTCCACGCCCGCCGTTGACCCCCCCGAAGCCGCCTCCTCAGCCCCCGAAGCCACCGGCTAGTCCCCCCAACCCCCCGCCACGCCCCCCGAAGCCGCCATTGACTCCCCCGAACCCGCCACCACGTCCCCCCAACCCGCCACCTGTCCCGCCGCCCGCGCCGCTCCGGCCCCCTCCCAGTCCTCCTGCCCCTCCCCCTCTGATACCTTCCCCTCCCCCCGACATAAGTCCTCCTCCCCCGGTCCTTCCGCCCGCCCCAGCCCCGTTCCCGCCCCCGGTCACTCCCTTCCCTCCCCCTTTGCTACCATCCCCATTTCCTCCGCCTTCCCCGCCGTTCGTCCTTCCGCCGCCTCCGCCCGAATCGTCGGGGCTATCGATGGGGGCGATCATAGGCATTGCGGTCGGCGGCGCCGTGGGGCTGATTTTCCTCGTCACGTGCGGCCTCCTCGCCTTCTTCTTCCTCGTGCCGAAAAAAAAAGAGGGCGAACGAACGCGCACCCGCGGCGGCGGCGGCGGCAGCGCGGCCCCAGGGACCGTGGGCGGCGCGGAGAAGGCGCCGTTTTACGCGCAGCCGCATCTGGTCCGCGGGGTGCGCGGGCGGCAGGCGGCAGCTGCGGCTGCGGCCGGGGTAGCGGCCGGCGCGGCTGCCGGCGGAGCGGCAGCGGCGGCGGCGGCTGCAGGTGGCGGGCCTGGCGAGGACGAGGACAGCGAGGAGGGCAATAACGCGTATGGCGACGGCGCGCCTGCTGCTGGCGAGGAGGAAGAGGAGTATTACGAAGACGAGGGCGGGGCGGCGGGAGAAGGGGAGGAAGGAGACGAGGATCTTTATGAGGAAGGGGAGGGCGACGGGGAAGTTGAAGGGGAAGCGGAAGGGGAAGCGGAAGTGGAAGGGGAAGAGGACGATGAAGACCTATACGGGGCTGGTGACGACAGCGGCGGCCCTTATTTGGGAGAGGACTCAGGAGGGGGAGCAGGCGGCGCGGGCGCAATCGCTGGCGCAGCCGCCGGCGCGGGGATCGTGGCCGGCGCAGCAGCCGTGGCGGGCGGCGCGGCAGCCGCCGTCGCGCTGGGGGACGGCGACAGGATGAGCGAAGAAGCAGACGACGAGTGGTGGTTCCCTTACGAGGAACTCGAAGAAGCCACAGACGGATTCTCAGACAGCAACAAGCTTGGGGAGGGCGGGTTTGGGCCTGTGTACCGGGGCATATTGGCGGACGGAATGCCCGTGGCGGTGAAGGTGCTGAAGGTGGGGGGACACCAGGGGGAGCGCGAGTTCCGCGCGGAGGTGGATATAATCAGCCGCGTGCAGCACAAGCACCTGGTGACGCACCTCGGGTACTGCATCGCGAGTGCTCAGAGGTTGCTCGTTTACGAGCTTGTGCCGAATGGATCGCTGGAAGACGCCCTACATAGTGAGTGTGGTAACCCTGTTTTGTTTTGGTGAAGGTGCTGAAGGTGGGGGGACCCCAGGGGGAGCGCGAGCTCCGCGCAGAGGTGGATATAATCAGCCGCGTGCAGCACAAGCACCTGGTGACGCACCTCGGGTACTGCATCGCGAGTGCTCAGAGGTTGCTCGTTTACGAGCTTGTGCCGAATGGATCGCTGGAAGACGCCCTACATAGTGAGCGTGGTAACCCTGTTTTATTTTGGTGAAGGTGCTGAAGGTGGGGGGACACCAGGGGGAGCGCGAGTTCCGCGCGGAGGTGGATAGAATCAGCCGCGTGCAGCACAAGCACCTGGTGACGCACCTGGGCTACTGGATCGCCAGCGCGCAAAGGCTGTTGGTGTACGAGCTCGTGCCTAATGGATCGCTGGAAGACGCCTTGCATGGTGAGTGATAGACGAGGAGTTACTTGGTAACCCTATTCTGTTTCGTCACTTAGGATGGGTATTGCATCGCTAGCAAGCAGTGGCTGCCGGTGTACGAGCTTGTGCCTGATGATAGCTGGAAGGCGCCTTGCATGGTGAGTGAGTGGGGGTTACCTTGTAACTATCTGCTTGAATATTCTAGAGAAGTGTTGCAGCGCTACCACGAGCAGCGCTTTGTGGTGTACGAGCTCGTGGTTTACGGGTCGCTGGAGGACGCCTGCACGGTGAATTAAGGAATGGTTGCTTACCATGTGTAGTTTTATAACGCATGTTGTTCGGTTAACGCATGCTATCTGGTAACCCTATGATGGCTGGAAACCTGGAAGGATGTTATACTCAGGCGCTCCCTCTCACCACCTACTGCATCTCTCATTCTGTTTCTTCCCGCATTCCCAACGAAACCTGTTCGTCTGCCCTCCCCAGGCGAGGGCCGTCGCCTGCTGGCGTGGAATTTTCGCATGAAGATCGCTCTGGGCGCCGCCAAGGGCCTCGCTTACCTGCACGAGGAATGTGAGTCGCTCCGCTCTCAGTGCCCCAACTCCCCTCCCCTCCGTCTCTCTCGCTTATCCTCCCCTCTCTCATCGTTCTTTTGCTCGTTTCTCTACCAAAACCCCGCCGCCTCTCACGCTCTCCCTCTTCCCCTGCTCGCCTCTTTTATCAGCACACCTATTGCCCCTTTCCCCTCCGCGCCTCCGTTTTTCCCACCACTACTTCGTTGACAAATTCCCTTTTGCATTTGCATTGCACCTCATGCTTCAAGAAACGCCTCCCTCCCGCCCATCTGCCCCTTTCCCCTTGCCCGCCCCCTTACCACCTTCCCCCCTCCCCTCCCCAACCGCATCCATTCCCCCCTCCCCTCCCTAACCGCATCCCTTCCCCCCTCCCCTCCCCAACCGCATCCCTTCCCCCCTCTCCTCCCCAAATTTCATCCCCCATTTCCCCTGGCGTCGACAGGCAACCCGCGCATCATCCACCGGGACATCAAGTCGTCCAACATACTCGAGTCGACTCAAAGCTCACCCCCCCACCTCTTCCCTCCATTCTCCCCTACCCTCCCCTGCTGCCCCCAGGCAACCCGCGCATCATCCACCGGGACATCAAGTCGTCCAACATCCTCCTCGATAAGGACTACGAGGCCAAGGTGGGTTTGCCTGAGCGCGTATAGTGTAGTTGGGCTGTGACGGCAAGGTGGGGCTGTGACGGCAAGGTGGGGCTGTGATGGCAAGGTGGGCAGTGCTGAGACGAATGCACACACACGGAAGATGCCAACGAATGGGACACACACGGAAGATGCCAACGAATGGGACACACACGGAAGATGCCAACGAATGGGACACACACGGAAGATGCCAACGAATGGGACACACATGGAAGATGCCAACGAATGGGACACATAAGCGAGTTGACTTTTGAGTCGACTCAAAGTTGACTTTTGAGTCGACTCAAAGTTGACTTTTGAGTCGACTCAGAAGATGCCAACGAATGGGACACATAAGCGTCATGAAGGATAGGACCCCCACCCACGGTTGAACGCCATGAACAGCATAGGCATCAGCAATGACGTGCATTGTAACATGATGTAAGACATAACGTATATGTGTCATAACATGCAAGTGTGATTAAATGCAAGTGTGATAACATGCAAGTGTGATTAAATGCAAGTGTGGTAACATGCAAGTGTGATTACATGCAAGTGTGATTACATTACATGCATGTGTCATGAGCATTTGGAGCGGATTTTATTTAATGACATCCCTTCATGTCTGTCCAATCCCTTGCTGCCAGGTGGCGGATTTTGGTGCTGCCAGGCTGGCAGCAGAGGACGCCATGCCAATCATCACACGTGTAGTTGGCACTTTCGGGTGAGTGAGTCATTCATCTGATCTTCTTGGCACTTTCCCACTACCCCTCACCTAACAACCCTCCACACCCCCCACCCCCTCTCACCTCCCTCTCCCTTCTCCCATTTCCCATCCCCCACATTCCTCCCAACTCCTTTCTGAACACCTATCTGCTCCCAGTCGTTCTGACCCGCCCTACGCCCCCACTTCTCAAGCCACAATGCACTCGTTTTCCTGACCCTCCACCTAGGCCCATTCCCGCACCACTTCCCTTTCGTTCCCTCTTTTCTTTCTGATCACCCTGCCTGCCTTAGTTCGCTCTTGCATAATTCACCTGCCCTATTTCACCCTGTCCCTGAACCTCTGTCTCTGGTGACTCTCAGGTACTTGGACGCCAGAGAACTCTTTGACAGGCACGCTTATGAGAATTCTCAGATGTCACTTTCCCTTCCTCTGTGCCTGCTTGAACCTCTTTGTGTGATCACCCCCACCCAGGTACCTGGCGCCAGAGTATGCATTGACAGGCAAGCTGACTGAGCATTCTCCGATGTCATTTTCCGTCCCTCTGTCCCTAATCCTCCTTGTGTGATCACCCAAACCCAGGTACCTGGCGCCAGAGTATGCATTGACAGGCAAGCTGACGGAGAAATCGGACGTGTTTTCGTTTGGAGTGGTGCTGCTGGAGCTTATAACGGGGAAGAGGCCCGTGGAGCAGGAGAAGCCGCAGGGCAGCGACAGCCTCGTGGAATGGGTGAGTCAGCTTATAGCGAGGACAGGCTTCCATTCCATGCCTCGGCCCCTCGTGCCATATTGGCACAGACTGAGGGCCTGTGCCTTTCCCCCTTGTCCTCCCTGTGTAGGGGCTGGTTTGAGACGTCTCACAACAACACTTTTATCACTGTGCCTTTCCCCCTTGTCCTCCCTGTGTAGGGGCTGGTTTGAGACGTCTCAAAACAACACTTTTATCACTGTGCCTTTCCCCCTTGTCCTCCCTGTGTAGGGGCTGGTTTGAGACGTCTCAAAACAACACTTTTATCACTGTGCCTTTCCCCCTTGTCCTCCCTGTGTAGGGGCTGGTTTGAGACGTCTCACAACAACACTTTTATCACTGTGCTTTTCCCCCTTGTCCTCCCTGTGTAGGGGCTGGTTTGAGACGTCTCAAAACAACACTTTTATCACTGTGCCTTTCCCCCTTGTCCTCCCTGTGTAGGGGCTGGTTTGAGACGTCTCAAAACAACACTTTTATCACTGTACCTTTCCCCCTTGTCCTCCCTGTGTAGGGGCTGGTTTGAGACGTCTCAAAACAACACTTTTATCACTGTACCTTTCCCCCTTGTCCTCCCTGTGTAGGGGCTGGTTTGAGACGTCTCAAAACAACACTTCTATCACTGTGCCTTTCCCCCTTGTCTTCCCTGTATAGGGGCTGGTTTGAGACGTCTCAAAACAACACTTTTATCACTGCGCCTTTCCCCCTTGTCCTCCCTGTATATGGGCTGGACAGGTGCTGCAGGCAGAGGCAGATTGAGGGGGAGAAAAAGGGTGATACGGATAGCCCTTCTAATACTCTGCCCTCTTTCTTTCAATCCCCTCTTCCCCACCCCATCGCCAGGCGCGCCCCCTGCTAGCGGATCGGGCAATGGAGGAACTGGCAGACTCTCAGCTGGACGGGTGCTTCGGGCAGCGGGAGATGGAGCGGCTAGTCACTGCAGCTGCACTCACTCTCCCTCTCTCTCAAATTTGCTTCCTCTCTCTTTTGAGTCGACTCTAAAGTCCCCTCTCTCTCAGATTTGCTTCCTCCCTCTTTCTCCCTGTTTGCCCCAGGCGCGGCCCTGCTGGCGGATCGGGCAATGGAGGAACTGGTAGACCTGGAGTTGGACGGGTGCTATGGGCAGAGGAGATGGAGTGGAAGAGACGGACTGCTTCTCTCTCTCCTCTCTCTCAATCCCCCCTTCCCCTTCCCCACCCATCGCCAGGCGCGCCCCCTGCTAGCGGATCGGGCAATGGAGGAACTGGCAGACTCTCAGCTGGACGGGTGCTTCGGGCAGCGGGAGATGGAGCGGCTAGTCACTGCAGCTGCACTCACTCTCCCTCTCTCTCAAATTTGCTTCCTCTCTCTTTTGAGTCGACTCTAAAGTCCCCTCTCTCTCAGATTTGCTTCCTCCCTCTTTCTCCCTGTTTGCCCCAGGCGCGGCCCTGCTGGCGGATCGGGCAATGGAGGAACTGGTAGACCTGGAGTTGGACGGGTGCTATGGGCAGAGGAGATGGAGTGGAAGAGACGGACTGCTTCTCTCTCTCCTCTCTCTCAATCCCCCCTTCCCCTTCCCCACCCATCGCCAGGCGCGCCCCCTGCTAGCGGATCGGGCAATGGAGGAACTGGCAGACTCTCAGCTGGACGGGTGCTTCGGGCAGCGGGAGATGGAGCGGCTAGTCACTGCAGCTGCACTCACTCTCCCTCTCTCTCAAATTTGCTTCCTCTCTCTTTTGAGTCGACTCTAAAGTCCCCTCTCTCTCAGATTTGCTTCCTCCCTCTTTCTCCCTGTTTGCCCCAGGCGCGGCCCTGCTGGCGGATCGGGCAATGGAGGAACTGGTAGACCTGGAGTTGGACGGGTGCTATGGGCAGAGGAGATGGAGTGGAAGAGACGGACTGCTTCTCTCTCTCCTCTCTCTCAATCCCCCCTTCCCCTTCCCCACCCATCGCCAGGCGCGCCCCCTGCTAGTGGATCGGGCAATGGGGGAACTGGCAGACCCAGAGCTGGATGGGTGCTACGGGCAGCGGGAGATGGAGCGGCTAGTCACTGCTGCTGCACTCTGTGTGCGCCAGTCCGCTGTGCTGCGCCCCCGCATGAGCCAGGTGAGTGGGACGCATGCTGTAATAGGGATGTCCCACAGGCTGTAGCACATTCTGAAGTCTGTACGAAAGTCTGTAGTAGAGGTTATGATAGAAGGTCGGGGGAATGTAGAGTCGGCTCAGAAATTACTACTTAATATCCTTGTGTGCCCCATGTGCCACCAACCCCACCCCCTCCCCCCCCCCCCCCCCCCACCAGGTGGTGGCGATGATAGAGGGGCGAGGCGATGTGGAGGTGGAGGCCACAGACGACGAGTCGGCTGCCGGGTTGCGGGAGAGTGCGGAGTTTTCAGGAGGGGAGATGGGGAGTCGAGAGGACATGTACCCTGAGGAGATTGTGCAGCAGTATCCGCACAGTGCCGAGAGCAAGGGGAGCGCTGGGGTGAGTCAACCTAAGTGAGTGCGCATGGCGGGAGACGAGGGAAGGTAGGGAAGGGGTGTCTGAGCGAGAGGTCATGTACCCTGAGGAGATTGTGCAGCAGTACTCCCACAGTGCCGAGAGCAAGGAGAGCGCTGGGGTGAGTAGACATATGTGAGTGCGGATGGGGGGTGAGGAGGGGAGGTAGGCAGTGGGTGTGTGACAGATGATTCTTTCGTCGGCTATAAAATCACCTTGTCAGGAGGGGAGCGGGGGAGCCGTGAGGACATGTGCCCTGATGAGATCGTGCAGCAGTATCCCCACAGTGCTGAGAGCAAGGGGAGCGCTGGGGTAAGTAGCAATATGTGAGTGCGGATGAGGGAGTGCATGTGGGGGAGTGCATGTGGGGAGAATTTATGTGGGGGAGTGGAGGAGAGGTGAGGTGTGAGAGAGAGGACTTGTACCCTGACGAGATCGTGCAGCAGTATCCCACATTGCTGAGAGCAGGAGCGCTGGGGTGAGTAAACATACGTGAGTGCAGATGGGGGAGTGGAGATTGGTGAGAAATGAGTTGATAGGAGTGAGTGGTGACAGGGGTGTGGAGAGGAGAGGAGTCAGTGGAGAGGGGTGGGTGAGCCGTGAAGTGTAACGGGTGAGGAGTGTAGAGAGGGGTACGTGGAGAAGCGGGTGTTAAGAGGTGCAAGTTAAAACAGTGACATCAATTCTGTCAGGTCTCTTCACTCTCAGCTTTCTTTAACTGCTAAATACTAATTAGTGCACTCTCATTGCATTGTCACAGCGGGTTTCCCTAACAATACCCCCTTCTCTCCACGACACTCTCACCCCAACCTCTTCTCCCTTCCCCGCCCCCAGCCCCTTCTACCCCTGGCCCGACCCCCTGCAGGGTGTTGGGGCGCATGGCAGCGCTTGCAGCAACAGCAGAGCTCCCATCAGTCCGCACTCCTACCCCATTCACCTCCCCCATCCTCCTCTGGCCCTCACCCCACCCCACCCCCTGCAGGCCAAGGGCAGGAAGGGGCGCATGGCAGCGCTAGCAGCAGCAGCAGCAGAGGAACTCACACCAGGCTACTCCTTCACTCTCTTCCGCTTTTTTGTCCCCTCACCTCTCCCAACCCCTTCTGCTCCTTACCCCATCCATTGTAGGCCAAGGGCAGGAAGGGGCGCATGGCAGCGCTAGCAGCAGCAGCAGCAGAGCTCACACCAGGCCACACCTTCACTTCTGTCACCTCTGCTACTAGCACAGACCCACTCATTGCCAACACCTCCCCCTCCTCCCAGGGCCAGATGCAGCCTCCCCCAGATGCACCTCCCCCTCCCACACAGGCAGGGCCCTCTGGGCCCATGCCGTTGCCGCTGCCGCCCGGGCGCAAAGGGGGTGGTGGTAACGGTGGTGGGTGGAGAGGAAAGTGAGGCGAGGGGTTTTAAGATAACGGGTAAATTGGTTAGCGGTTGAAATAAGGATTTCTCTGACTCCAGTTGAAATGCTAGAGCCTTGGACGAGTGCTTCCTTGTGGAAATGCTGGTTGGACTACTGACTAGCTAGCATGCCCCTGTAAGTTATTTAGCTTGTGTTACTACCAATGGGAACTACGGTAGCTATTTGAATGTATGTGCTTTTTTCTGAATGCTGTGAATATGGTTTCCATATCTTTCAGCCCAGGAACAGAATGCTACTTGTTAAAGCAAATATTCATGTGATGTTTGCAGTTGGCAGTGATAGCGGGCCTCAAACACAACGTACACTACGTCTTGATAAATCACAAAAGCAGAAACCGTCAATAGCGAAAGAACCTGGGAGGAACACAGGCGCGGTATGGATCCACTCAAGTGAACACGTGGACCCTCAAGCTTTGGCAATCTCCGCCTGTGGATCCAGCGATCATCCACGTCATATTGATTCGCGGTTCGTTCCCCTCACCCAAACCTGGTTCATCAAAACACATCTCTGACCGTCAATTCCGGCGTTGTTAGGACCATCTCAACGCGAAACCCGAATGGAACCACACTCCAATCATCGACGCAATCGTGACCCTTCGTAGATGGTTACAATTCATCTTCACTGTCCATGAAGGCGCTCGAACGAGCCGCTTAGTAGTAGTGCTTCCTGCCAGGCACGCCACACTTCCCTCATGCGCGAAGCAAATGATTCCAGCCAAGGGTCTATATTTACTTAGTTTTACTAGTAGTAACAGAGTAGTCTTCGAGTGCAACGGAATCTCGGTACAAGTCAGGAAAAGCTTATTTATCTCACGCTGAACTCCGTGCTCTTATATCGTCGCAGTAATTCTGTCACACCCTAGTCAGTATCGTAACTACGCCCGTTTTAGTAATAGGTTCATGGATCTATTTAATTACCGCCGCCGCGTTGGAATGACGGCCGGTATGACCGTAGCGTTAGCACTATCTCTGTTTGGGATATTAGTCGCCAGAACCGCGAACGCGTACTCGGCGAGCTCGCCAACGACCGTCGCATGCCCTCCGTTACATTGCGACGTTACACAGCGAGGCGTGCTTTGGAACCACCCGAATCGCGGCAATCTCAATGACGTGGAGCTCACGGGGCCCGTTCGCACGTCAGCCAAATGCAGCGAGATATGCGCCTCGACGCCCGGCTGCGACGTGTGGCTGTTCGGTCTCGTGTCAACCGGATGTACGCTGAGTTTCATGTTTGCTCATCCATTTCGTGTGCATCTTGCGTCACGCAACCACATTTCCTGCATGCAACAAGATCTGCGCTGTTGATCGGTGTACTAATGGTCACCGTCGGGCTTTCATGCCACCCTTTTTTTTGTGTATTGATTCCGCTTTCTGATTGGATATTTACGAAGCCCTCCTTACTCACTCTCTCCGCGGCATTCCTCATCACTACCCCCGTTACTCCCCAAATCATTGTCTGACGCTTCCTGCAGCCTATCATGAATCTCGATTCCGTCATTTTATTTTTTTCATTTACGAAGTGCCCCTTGCTCACTTGCTTATTTCCTGGTCACTACCCCCGTTGCTTCCCCAATCATTTTCTGACGTCCTCCGCAGCCTACTGTAAAATGTGGACGGCAGAGCAGAGCCCTTGCCGCCCCGGTGCATTCGGTGACGTCATGTACGATCCGACCCCGCGAATCGAGGGGTTCTTTGGGTTTGGCGGGAATTGCAATTCTCGCAAAACCGTCAAAATCGCAATCGCCGACGACTCGGCGACGGCATCTGCGACCCCAAGCCGTGCGACAGCCTCGCCGACACAGGGGGGCCTACTCGGCGGCGAGAGCTCTGCGAATGGCGGAGAAATCCTCGATGTTAATGTTGCGGTGGGCGTGACGGCGGAGGCACCTGTTCAGGGTTCGGACCCCCGGTCGCTTGAAATCTCCCCCGCAATGGCCGGCGGACTCTCGGTGCAATCAGGGGAAGAGGGGGAGCCGCAGCTTGTGGAGGCGGCAGTTGCGGTGCGGTTGCGCGGACAGAAGCAGTCGGACCTGGCAGTTCCGGGGTTTGTCGTTGCAGGGACGGATGGCTCAACTGAGCCGGTAAATGCGCGCGGACCGCGGAATGCTGGAGGGGAGAACGGTTCTGCTGCGGTATCGGCGCAGGCTGCGCCAGACAGGGCAGTCCGGGGAGCGGATGGGGGAGTGGCGCTGACAGCATCCGCAGCGGGAGTGGCGGGAGTTGCGGATGCTCTGGAGCGGCAGCAAGGTAGGGCCTTGGAGCAATATATGTGATGCCGCGGTGACGGGATGAGTTTTGAGTGTGACTCAGAAATCAGCGGGAGTGGTGGGAGAGGAGGACGCGCTGTAGCGGCAGCAAGGTAGGGCCTTGGACCAAAGGATGGGATGCGGTGAAGGGATAGCAGATAATCAAGTGGCAGGATCAGAGTTTTCTCAGAGCACCCGCAGGACTCAAGGGTCAGGACACACAGAAGCAGTATTGCCATGCTGCGGGCGCAGTATCAGCAGCAGGGTTACCGTGCCTCCCCTCCTTCTCTTCCCCATTCCGTCTCTTCCTCGTTTTCCTTTCACCGCCTCTTACTTCGCTGTCCACTTTTCTTGTGATTTTGTCCCACTGTCCCCCATTCTCACCACACCAGGCCCCACTGCCCAGCGCCCTGATTTTTGCTGGAACTGGCCGCGCACGGGCTTGTTCTATGGCCTCTGACGTCCCAGCCCTGCTTATCACTATGTCTCCCATTGTTGACTATCCCCAACTCTCCTCACACCAGGGCCCACAGCGCAGTGCCCTGATTTCCGCTGCAACTGGCCACGCACGGGGCTCTTCTTTGACCACCCTCACCAAGACCTTCATGCATCGCTGCCCACTTTCTCTCCCACTATCTCCCACTCGCCAGGTCCCACGGCACAGTGTCCCGACTTTCGCTGCAACTGGCCGCACACGGGGCTCTTCTTTGAACGCCCAGGCAAGGGCCGCCAGGAGCCCCAACACTGTCCCACCTTCCTCGTGACTATCCCCCACTCTCTTCACACCAGGCCCCACGGCCCAGTGTCCTGATTTCCGCTGCAACTGGCCGCGCACGGGGTTCTTCTTTGACCGCCCGGAGAAGGGCCATCAGGCGGTGATCGTGACGCCCTACACCAACCAGCCGTTCGAGTGCTGGCGCATCTGCCGCCGCACTGAGCACTGCGCGTTCTGGATGTTCGAGATGCAGGCGATCCAAGGTAGGGAATGGCGGAAGGGCGGACATTGGGGCATTGGGAAGAAGCGAATAAGGATGGTGGATTGTTATCGGTACATGAGGAGATAGGGGTCCAATACCGTGATTCTGCAGGAGTTCCTTCTTGCGAGGTCAGCTCATTTATTTGTGGTTTTATCATTTCCATCCACTCCTATCCTATCCCAGGCCGATGCAAGCTTTGGAGGAAGGAGCAGAGCCCATGCGAGCCAGCAGACCCTGCAGACGTCACCTCCACCACATACCAACAAAGGGCAGATGGGCTGTTTGTGGTGGGCGGTAACTGCGAAGGAGGTATTGAGACCATTGCTAAGACCACCGCGAGTTGAAGAATGCTGATGGGAAAAGGCACCAAGTGATCCAAAGTGGGTTTCATAAATCCCACAATAAATGCACTCGTGCATTCTGCAGAATGAAGTCCGCATAGAATAAGGTGGACTCTACCATAGTTAAGTCCTCGATTTGTGTTCTCTCTCTGTCTCCCTTTTCCTAAATATTCAACCTTTGAACACCCAGGAAAGATAATATGTCCGCCTAGTTGTGCATAACGCACCAGGCATACGCGATAACGCTGTTGACTGATTTCAAATGGTCGTCCACATTCCCCATTCTGCCTGCCCTACTCTAGCATTGCCAAATTACAATGTCAACGACAGTCAACATTGCCTGCCCTACAGTACAGCCAGCCCAAACTGGACCCACCCAGCCAACCAAACTGAACCCACCACCGCCCCACTCGGACACGTCGCGATGCGAGTCCAATGCGCGGTCCGTAGCAAATGGTGAGATAAAATGCAAATTTCTCCTCATCCTCAGCATCGCAACTTCCAGCGCTCCCACTATCACTGCTCTCTGCCAACGTTCGCTGCTTTCAAGCCCAACTAGAGATTCCAGACTTCCTTTCCTCCTCAATCGTAGCGGAACGCCCAAAGCAAGCTCTTCGCGATGGCTTCTTTTTTCCCTCGCGCTGCGTTCGCAGTCCTCTTCGCTGTTGCCCTGGGAGGTGAGGAAACAGATCCTGAAAATCACCTCCATCCATTTTGCTGCTTCCTCACGCATCCCTCCCAGCCAAATCGGGCTGTGTTGAGCAACGTGCTGAGTACATAATTTCTATTATGCGCTTAAAGCCCTATCGTTGCGTTCGCGTTATCCCAAATGGCTTGAGCTCCCCTCCCTCATGATGCCTCCACCTTTTTGTGCCCCCTTTGCAGCTCTTCTCCCCTCTTCTGCCCGCGCTGCTCGTGCTGGTCTTGGCGTGCGCTCCAAGGTTCTGGGTAAGCTACAGTAGAGATTTTCCCCTTCTCGGCACGCTCTGCCTGTGCATCCTCCATTTTTTTATCCAACTACACTACACACATTCTCCCTGTAAGATGCAAGTGTAGTCGGCATGTGCAGGTCCTTTTTTTGTTAGAATGTGACAGGTGTTCACGTTCCCTCTCCTCTCACTCCCACTCCTTCTGCAGCATCTCTCCAGGGGGGCCTGACCACGTGTGCTGCACTCAATGCCCACGTTGGTGCTGACATCATCGGAGCCAATGTCGACGGCACAGCTGACATCAGCATTCTCCGCAGGTACACCAATTTTCCTCAATACAGAAACATTGGCACAAAAGCAATACCGGTACCACATCTAGCTTTTTGTAAACGTATATCCTTTCCACACATAAGCCCTACCTGTTGCATTACCAGGGCGTCCCATCCAAACTTACTCTCTACCCCCTCATACCATACTCCTATCTCCCTATTATCTGCCAGGGGAGCATCCGTGTATCTGTCCTACAAGATCACAGCTCAGGGCTTGACTCAGCGCCCATCCTCTTCCCCTGCCATCGTCGCCCGTAACCCCTGCTCTTCCCCCGCAACCTCCTCCTCCTCCACTTCTTCCTCCACCTCATCCTCACCTGCCGTTACCACATCAGGCTCCCTATCCGGAGACGGATCACTGCATGCCTCCCTCTCTCCCTCCACAGGAGCCACCGGCTCCGGCTCTCTCACCACCACCACCACCACCAACCTCCTCAACTCCTCCCTCTCTGCCTCCACCACTGCCGATGCCTCCCTCTCCCCCACCACCGGCCTTACCACCTCCAACTCCCTCTCCGCCTCCGCCTCTCTCCCCAACTCCTCCCTCTCTGCGTCCACCACTGCTGGCGCCGGCACCGCTCTTAACCCAGACGGATCGGTTTCCACCGCGGGGGGTCTCTCAGCCTCCACCAGCCTTCTCAACACCGGAGCTACAGCAGCCGGCAGCACTGACGCCTCCCTCCCCAAAGCCACTGCTTCAGGCTCAGGATTTGTCGCAGCCTCTACTGCTCTCCTCAACACTTCGGCCACCGCCAGCGGTGGTGCCCATGCATCACTCCCCAACGCCACTCTCTCTGGCTCTGGCTCTCTCTCTGCCTCCACCGGTCTGCTCAACACATCTGCTCAGGCCGGCGCTGGTGCAACCATCTCCCTTCCCAATGGCACAGTCTCTGGGTCCGGTTCTCTTGCTGCTTCCTCCGGTCTGCTCAACACGTCTGCTGTCGTTGGTGCCGGTGTCAACGCAGGCTCGGGAGGCGTCCAAGCCAACCTCGGAGGCTCCACGAACCTTGACCTCAACCCCGCTGGCGTTGTCTCAGGGATTGGTGGGGTTATCTCTGGCGCAGGTGGAGCAGTGGGGAGCGTGGTTGGTTCGGCAGGGAAGGTTGCAGGCTCGGTGGTAGGCTCGGTGGGCAATGCTGCAGGTTCGGTGATTGGCACAGTGGGCAAGGTGGCCGGCTCGGCAGGGAAAGCAGCAGGCTCGGCTCTTGGCTCGGTGCCTTCGGTTCTGTCTCCCCTGGTTGTCCTTCCTGGTGCTTGGGTGAAGGCTGCAGTTGATGCCAATGTTGGGGTAAACATTGGTGCTGCTGGTGCTGCTGGTGCTGCTGGAGCAGCTGCAGCAAGTGTGTATGCGATGGTGGGAGAGACTCGCCTCTCTGCTGACCTTGCCTCGTCCCTCCTCGCCCGCATCTCCGCCCGCTCCTCCTCCTCCCCGTCCGCTCCTCTCCCCCTCTTCCTCTACCTCAACGCGCGGCAGAATCTCGTTGCCTTCCTGCAGTAAACTCATCATCTTCCTTCTCATCCCCTGGCACTGCCAGCCCAGCAATGTTCAGGGCAGTGCAAGATGGGGGTTGCTGGGGGATCACCATGTGGGGAGCGGAAGTGAGAGACGGCTGCCGGCTGCAAGCTCATTCAACTTGATGGAAGGTGCTTTGAGTTGAGTCGGGTGTCTGGTGCAGAGGGAGGAGCAGCTACTGTGCGGATATCCGCTGCAGTGTGACTAGCACAGGGTTGACTCTTTGGCACGTTGTATCAAGTTGAATGTAATTTGGATAATCAATGGGAATGGGAGTCGTTACTGCTGCAAATCACTGGCCTTGTTTCTGGTCCCTTGTTGAGCCTTGTTGAGCCTTGTTTCCGGTGCTTGGGGTAACAGGCACTACCCCATGTCGTATCCAAAATCGTATCCCATGTTGCCACCCCCACCACTGTCAGCACTGTTACCACCACCAGCCGCTACAGCCGCTGCACCGCCGCTACCAGCACTAGCAGCGGGGCTAGCTGAGCCTTCTCGCCGCACAAACCCTCCCTGAATCCACGTGAACCCACCCCCTCCACCACCCCCGCCACCACCCCCGCTGCCAAGACGAGGCAAGGTAGCACCAGTAGCACGTGCACCCTCACTGCCCACTCTAGTTAGCCTGCGACCAGCAGCAGTAACGGCAGCATCAACGTTACTGGCAGCACCAGCAGGACCAAGGCCAGCAGCAGCAGCAGCAGCATTGGTAAGAGCGTCCGCAGCTGCTGCTGCACTAAGGCTGAACCCCGAACCTGCACGCGCAACACCCGGCTTGGCTCCGGCTCCTCCCGGACCTGCCGCTGCCGGACTTAGCCCTCCGGCTCGGAGCGACCTGAGCTTGCCGCTGACGCTCTCAGCTGCAGAAACCCGCATTCCAAATGCAGCGAATCCGGACGGAGAGACAGGAGGGTGGCCTGGTGGCTTGAGAGTGCTAGAGGACTGGTGTAGCTTTTGATACTCCTCTGTCCGCCTTGTATTCACAAACACAGGCCCCCCTGATGCTGCCTCGCTCGCTCCTCCTCCTCCTCCTGCTCCTCCTCTCCCTCCTTGGCCCCCTCCTCCTCCTCCCCTTCCTCTTCCCGCTTCTACCATTCCTGATCTTAACGCCCCAAGCCTGCCACCTCCCGACCCTCGGCCCACACCACCAAAGCCCGACCCAAACGCCCCAAATCCCCTCGCTCCCCCTCCTCCTCCTCTTACCCCTCCTTCTGCTCCAATTCCTCCCTCCGCCACTCTCTCAAGACCCTCTGGCCCTGCGCCCCTGACAGGTGGGGAGGGAGGAGCGGGCGAGTGGGAGGACGACCCTCCAAAGCTCCTAGTGGCAGAGGAGCGAGAGTGAGAGTGAGAGGGGGGGTGGATGGAGAGAGCGTGCAGGTTCTGCTGGCTGTGGAGGGAAGAGTGTGGGGCGAACAGTGCACTCCCTGCTGCTGCGCGCTGCTGGTCGCGGTGGGATTGGATCTCCAGCTCATGCTGCTGGAGGGTTTGATGTGCCTGCTGTTCATGACTGCCGCTGCTCCCTGCATCACTCGCTGCTGCCACTGCTGCTCCTCCTCCCCCTCTTCCTCCTCCTCCTCTTCCTCCGCCTCCACCCCTCTCTGCCAGCAAGGCAGACCAAGCCGCCACGTCATTTTCAATCGCAGCCACTCGCAGTGCTGAGCTGTCCCGTGCCATTCCCTCCCCTACCACCCCACCCGCTGCTGCTGCTGCTCCTTCTCCTGCGCCTGCTGCTGCTCCTGTGTGAGCAATAGCGGGTCTGCTCTTGCTCTTCCAGCTCTGCATGGCCACTCGCCCCCTCTCAAACCGACGCCTCGCCGCCTCTGCTTCCGCTACAGCTGCTGCTAAAGCTGCCGCATCGACACTAGCATCAACACTGGCGTCGGCATCGGCATTTCCACCGCCAGCAGCGGAATAATCAGAGTCTCTAGGGGGTTCTGAGTCCGAAGGAGGAGGCTCGGCTGAGGTGCTGGTTTGCAGCTGCCACTGCTGCTGCAGCCGCTGCTGCTGCTGCAGCCACTCCTGTTGTCGCTCTCGCTCCCGCTGCTTCCACTCCTCCTGCTCCTGCTCCTCCTGCTCCTGCTGCTGCTGCATCCCCTGCTGCTGCCCTTCTTGACTCGCTCCCCTCGAAGCAGGCGCCTGCGCCAACAGCAGAGGCTCGCCTTGACTGGCACTACCTGAAACAGACCCACCACCTGGAAATTCACCTGACACAGGGAGAGACAGAGGATTCTCCTGAGCAACACCAGCACCAGCACCGACACCACCGCCGCCAGCAGCAGCAGTGGGGGGTCGCAACCACCGGTTGAGCCAAATAGAAGCAACATCCCCACTCACCTCAGGTCTCTTGGGTCTCAACCCAAACGGACCGAACCCCCCACCACCCATACTCATCCTCACTCCACCTCCCACATACCCCCCTGCTCCTGCCCCTACTGCATCCCCCCCAGGCCCCCCCCTCACACTGAACCTCTGCTGCTGGCCGGTGTTCTCTGCTGCGCCCATGCCTGCATTCTCCCCTCTTGTGCCCCCATTCCCCCCCGCGCTTATCTGCAGGCTGCTGGAAGGTTCCTCGTACTTGCTGATCTCGCCGCTTGCTGCTGGGGGAGGGGCATCAGGAACGGCCGCTTCCTCTGCTGCTGCCCTTGCTGCTGCCACTGCTGCTGTCGCTGCTGCTGCTTCTGCTGCTGCGAAGTCTCTGTTGCTCTGAGCCACAAACCTCTGGCCCACACCCGTTACACGCACACCACCTCTTCCCGTCCCACCGCCTCCTCCTCCCATTGCTCCCCCTCCTGCAGAAGGCACCATGGCATAATCATTCAACGTTGACCGCTCCTCCCCTCTCAAACCCCCATCCCTACTCACTCCCCCAACCTCACCCCCAGACTCCCCCCCAAGCCTCCTTTCCCCTCGCCATACCACCTCCTCCCCCTGCCCCTCCGCCCCTCTCCCATCTCCGCCTCCCCCTCTGCTCTCGCTAGACACATAGCCAGGCGGCAAAGGGGGAGGGGCGGAGTTGCTGCTATTGCTCTGCGCCTCCCATTCGCTATTGTTACCTCCAGCTACAGGAACAGTGCCCGTCGCTACAGGGACCGTGCCCACGTGCTCCCAAGCCTGCCGTGCTGCTGCGGCAGCCGCAGCTGCGGCCCAATCTGCAGCTTCCTCCGAGGCTGTGGAGGGAGGCTCGGGAAGCACAGACACTGACGTGGATCCGAAGAACGCTGAGTCACCATAGCCCAGGCTCGGCCCAGGCTGGGCTCCTACTCTCTCATACAACCCAACCCCTATCCTTCCTCTTACTACTCCTCCTCTCGCTCCCCTGCCCCCACCAACACCAACAGCACCTGACGGACTGCCAGCAGCTGCAGCAGCAGCGGCGGCAGCTTCAGCGGCAGCAGCAAAAGCAGGATCACTGGCACCGGCACTGCCCGCTGTCGCGTCCACCCCCCCACCGCTATCCCGGAACGACCCAGCGCCTTGCTCCTCCTGCTGTACGCGATAGTGCGTCTGAGAGAGCAGCGATCGGTACATGCTAAACAGATTGTTGGGTGTGAGATTTCTGACAGGCTGGGCATCGGCGCCTGAGGGAAACGGAAACTGGATGCCGGTGTGATCAGTGTGACCATGGTCAGAGGGTCGATTGTCAGTTTGCTGGTTGTCAGTGAGTCTACTGTTGCGTAGCCGAAACGTCTCCTCGTCCCACTCCCTCTCTCCCCCTGGTCCCGTTCGCCCGCCTTCTCCTCTCTCCTCCCTTACACCACCACCCCCATCCCTCTCCTCTTCTCCTTCCTCTCCTTCTCCTTCTCCTCCATCCTCCTCGCCTGCTTCGTCGTCTTCTTCCCCCATCTCCTGGTCAAACTGAGGGTTAACTCGCCTTCTAGCCCCATCCAAAGGGTAATTCTGTCTCAGTCCCTCATAAGCATCTGACGGCTCTCTGTTGGCATACCCTGTTGGAGCACCTGAGTAATTACCTGAGACAGGTCCGAAATCTGCGCGTTCACCTGGGCTCCACCTCCCCAGGGGGACACTCTTACTGTTCTCCGCCTGCCCTTCCGGCTGTCCTTCCGCCTGACCCTCCCGCACCAGCCCGCCTTCCCCTCCCCGCCAGTTCCCCCCGTTCTGGTTGCGCAGGTTCCCCTGTTGGCGGAACTCGCCATAAAACTGCGCCTGATAGAGGCCCGCGGGCTGCGGACCTCCGCTTCCGCCAAAGCTTCCGCCAAACCCCTGCGCGGGATATGCGCCTGTATTATTGTGCCGCCTTTGCGCAGCTTCTCCATCCTCCCCCCAACCCCCCTCCCCGTCAACTCCTCCGCCTACTCTCCGCGCAGTCTCCGCGTTCCCCGCGGGCCCCTCCCCCGAGTCTTCCTGCCTTGCGCCGAGCGCGCATTTATTGTCAAAGGAGAATCTAAGCGATGACGGCTGGCGCGCGTTTGTCGCGTAGTGGGGGAGGTGGGGCTGGTACGGGTTGTGTTCCGAGAATGGGGGAGGCTCGGAGCTCATATCGCCGCCCGCGCTGCCGTTGCGCGAGGGCGGGTGGCGGAAGGACCGGGGGGATTCTCCCGGCGGCATGGGGAAAGAGGCGGAGTGGAAAGGAAAATTGTTAGTGTGAGGTGCGCCCGACTCCATGTCCGCGTTGTGCGAACAATCGATATAAAAAAGTATTGCGCCGATATAAGTGAAATAAGTAGCTAATGTTAGAAATTACATAAGCCACAAAACTATTGGAGGATTCCGAGGTGGAAGTCTCTTCAAGTCTCTCGCTTCGTAAGTTAACGAGACGACCGCTCTAACAGGTAGAAACTGCTACAGGTGTCATCAGCTGTAAAGTGTCAGGTGTTAGGAAGTAAGGTCAGTTTTAACCGAGAAATGCGCATAATCGTTAGATGGACGCGGGAAGCTTGAGCTAACTGAGAAAACCCTAATCGATCTGGTTAGATACAGGAGGCTGTACTGGAAAACCTTTAGTGCAAGTCAGCAGCAACCTGAAACAGCTCTCAGGAATCCCTATACGACGCGGGAATAACATGGGTAAATTCGCATCTACAGTGCTGGTTAGAACCCCGAGAAGACGTTTTGATTTTTGTTGACTCAAATATACAACAAACAGAAACACCCTAAGATAGCATATATTTCAATCAGAAACAGATTGCCTTGATTGCCGTGGCCAGGCATCATGATTGCCGTGTAGTACACCCACCTACCATATAAACAAAGCTGTAATGGGGCAATGCCAACGAGCAATCATGATGGCTGGCCACCGCGTGACATAACTAGGAGACAGACAATAAATTCCGACCAAAATACCAGACCAGCAAACTCTATACTTGAGCTGCTTCAAAATATATCTTCAGCTCCAGAGGTCGAACCCAACAGCTGCTGGTGACAAACCCCATGGCGACACATTCACCAGCTCCGCCTCACCCTCACACACCTCCCGTGCCAACAACCCAGCAGGGCAAGCCATGGACTCAGGTGCACCCATCCCTTGGGATTGTCGCCCAGCTGGAGCCCCCTGAGTATGTGCCAGAGCCCAGAGAATAGCCTCCTGCGCAGCAGCACCACCCTCAGGAGTTCCATCTAACTGGCCGTCAGATCTGCCGGAATCCGTCAGAGAAGTGAGCCTGGCCGGCAAGTGCTCATCCAGCAGGTTCATGATGTCTGTCAGCATGTCCACCTGTGCCTGGCATGCCAGCACAGAATCAGCACTGGCTGGAAGGCTGTGGCTCTCGTCTGTAGGCTGTGTGGAGACATGTTGAAGAGTATCACCGTCCAGTACATCGGAGGTCGCGGCCGAAAGGGAGTGTCCGGCAGACGACAAATCGCTGGCGCTGCTGCTGCTGCTGCTGGAAGGGCTTCTGGGAGACTCGGGATCTGCACCACTCCCTCCGGCCAATGGGTGCACAGGAATTGACAGTTCCCAAGGGGTGGATTGGCCCATGGAGGCACGTGGCCTCTCAGCACCACGTGGTTTCTCAGGAGCACTCGGCTTCATGTCAAGTAGCATTTTGGTGTCCAGGTATGGGATAGTCTGCGCCTCCTCCTTCACAACTGCAACCTTCAATTTGCCGCCTTCAAACTCCCACGCAATCTCGCTTCCAGGACAACCGCTATTAACATTACTGGCAGCACCGCAACCACCAATGTTTGACGAATTTTGCCTTCCTAGAAGTGGATCGGACACTCCCACAGGATTACTTGGTTGGAACTGCGTCGTCGGGGCCGCTGCGTTTACGCTCTGATCCAGCCATGGCTGGAGGCTGATAGCAGGCATCTCCTGCTTGGGAGTGAGTGCTGAGGGCGTGTGGAGTGTGAAGCCTGTGGTTGGTGCCCTTGCAGGGTCCCCAACTCCCCCTCCTTGCTGCTGCTGTGATTGCTGACTCTGCTGCATCTGCTGCTGTGTGTGCTGCTGTATCTGCTGCTGCAGGGGCCGCTGCTGCTGCGTCTGCTGCGTCTGTTGCGGCTGCTCCATCCCGCCGTCAACGCCAGTGGGACCAAGCAACACCATCTGCTGCCCCCTGTCACCGGAGATCACTCCAAGCGGCGCCACTGACGCCGCAGGGGGACACTCCGCCACAACCACGCTGCCGCCCACGGCCTCGAGACGGACCACGTCGCTCGAGAAACTCGCAGGCAGGTCGCACGCGCCCTCGCGCGCGTCGCTCCCGTCGTCCGCGGCGTCGCCTGCGACGACGAGGCGCTCGCCCCCTGCGACATCTGCAGCGCACTGGGCTCTGCTTTCGCGCACGGTGCGGATCAGCGCTTCCGCAATGGCGCGCGGAACGGCGACGGGATGCGCCTCGTCGGGGAAGTTGAGCTTTCCGCAGGCGGCGCCTCCGCGGCCTCCCCCTATTATCCGCGCCGCCATATCATACACTCGCGCTGCTTCCTCCGCGGTTTCGTACGATCCCAGCCACACGCGAATCTTCGTGCGAGGGTCGCGAATCTCAGTTACCCACTTGCCCCATTTTCGCTGTCGCACGCCCTTGTAACGACGATTGCGGTTGCATTGCGCTCCACCCCTGGGAAATGCTAGCTTCGGGTGCGGCGAGGGAATGCCGTCGTCCTCCTCACCGTCTCTTTCGAGCACGAGAACAGGGGGCGTGTCGCAACCGCTGCCAATAGCGAGTGCGCGACTGTCTCGGAAGGCAGAACTAGGCGATGTGCGATGCGACCCGCTGATATTACGCGCACATGGTCGTTTCATTAGCGGTGACTCAGAATCGAAGGACGTCTCGCGCGCGAGCAGCGACGGGCTGGATGCTGCGGATGGAGGCGTGGAGGGGAACGGTGATGTGGAAAGGAGCGGTGACGTGGAAGGAAAGGGAGACTTGGAAAGGAGTGGTGGAGACGTGGAAAGGAGGGGTGACGAATGGTTCGTTCTGCCTAAAAGCTCGGCGAGCTTTCGTTTAGGAGAGAGTAGTGGCGGAGGGCGGGTCGACGTTCCAAGGGAGTTGGGAGGAGATAGTGAGAGACTCATATCAGAGCATATGCCCAAGAATGCAGGTAGTATAGTAGTGGTACTACTAGGGTAGTCGATTGGTGGAAAGGGTAGCGTCCTCCTTTATAATTTTGCGTGGAGTAGACAAATAGACGCGCTCTGCAAGGTCAGACTAGTCGAGAAACTTCGCGAATATGCTAGGAGAATCGAGGATTGCTCTGCTGGCAAATATCAGTAGCGAAAGTAGCGGATTTTTTTATGAACAATTTACAACCCAGCTCCCCTATTTATGGATTTCTCTCTCTGGCTCGGGCAGAGCTGGGGGACGGATTTCAAGTTTCATTCCCCCCTGGGCGCAGCTGGATGACGCACGCGCAGCTGCAGCAGAAGGGGGGGTGACTGTCCAGTCAGGGGAGCTAGTACAGTAACGGGTGGGCCCCGAGCAATTTCGCTCCCTTGCGATTGGGGGTCGTGCGGTGCGCGGTGCGTGCAACGCGCCATCCGGTGACCCGACGGTGACGCGCGGGGTCCTAGGATGGATGGATCTTGTCGTTTTTTCCCAAAATGGATGTCGTGATTCGCGATCCCCGCCACAGACGACAAACGTGACGACAACGACACATTTCGCTCGCAGCCCTTGAAGGGCAGCATCAACGAAGGTGACGCGAAGGTGTGCACAAATTTCACAAGCGTTGACTGCGAGACTGCGAACACAAAGGCGACAAGTAGTGTTACATCAGTCAAAACATACACAAACAATCTATATTCAATACATATGCTGCTAAGGGCCTTTGCGACGCACTACATGGCCAAAAGGCGTGGCCCCACCTTTACAGTGCCCGCCAACAAGGTATTCTCTATCTGGCCAGGGCCGGTAGCGTGCAGTTGTAGGGTCACTGGGGTCCGCAGGCTTGCAGGGGTCTTGCTGCTCACTCCACATTGTACAACGACCTGACAAAATAAACCCAGTGAGAAAAAAATACAAAACACAAAAACAAGCAACGAAGGATGCAATGTGGTTTAATATAAGAGAAGAGGTACCGAAGAACATTAATTCATGTTATTCCTGACCTTCTGGCTTCTCCCGATGATAACTCCAAAACGCACAGCCCTCGGTCTTCCGGCAGATGATCCAGCAGCTATGGGCACGGTTGGCCGGGCCAGTTGTGTTCTCCCCCAGATGGCCCTTCCCCTCATGGTCAAAGAAGATACCTTTGATTGCCACATTGCACATGAGATCGGGGCATGCGGCTGTGGCATTGGGGTCTGGCAGATAGGAGGGCACAGGGATAGGCACAAGGGTTGGCACACATAGAACGGGGCAAGAAACAGGTCAAGCTTGTGATGGGGAATGAATGTGGCAATCAGCTAGCAATCACTGCAGTGCTTTACAAAAAGCGCATTAACAGGCACATTCAGACACGCATGCCATATCCAATACCTGTTTTCACCCCAGCCGTTCCTTCCACTGTCAGCATTGGTAGCCTCCCTCCTGCCCCCTGTGCGTGCGCCTGCGGCACCAGCTGCTGTGCTTCCAGCTCCTGCTGCTTCCCCTCATACCCCTGCTGCCGCGTCCGCCCATCCCTTCCCCCATTTGCCACACTCCCATTCCCACCCCTCCCTCCTGCCACCACTGTAGCATTCCCCCCGGCGCCCCCCTGCCCTGCTGCGGTGCTCTCTGTGCCTCGGCCCCGCTTGCTGCGGTTGCACCCGCCCCCGAAGCCGAACACGCCCTTCCAGGGGGGCGTGGGGTTGTAGTGGATGGGGTTGGCGCCGTCTGACGGGTCTGCCAGGCATGGGCTCTGCTCCTCCCGCCACATGCGACAAAAAGCTGGAGGGTGGGGTGGGGGGTTGGGTTGGGAGGGTGAGGCGTTGGGGGGGGGGGATGTAGTGGATGGGGTTGGCACCATCCGACGGGTCAACCAGGTAAGGGCTCTGATCCTCCCGCCACATGCAGCAGAAGGCTGGACGGGAGAAGGATGAAAGGGGAGCAGGGAAAAGAGGTGTGTGGAGCAGATTTGGGGGTGTCAGGGTTGGTCAGGCATGGGCTATGCTCCTCCTGTCTCCCGTCCTTGTTTTGCAGACGTTGAACTGTTATCCAATGCAGTGCGAGCTAGTCTGAACGGCGCAGAGGGTGCCAAGAAAGGGTGGCTGCGTGAAGATTCAGGGACAGTAACGAGAAATATGGCAGGCATGATTCATCAGGGAGCCGTTATCCGGGTGTTTCACCAGGTGACTTTTGAGTCAGAGGGTGCCAAGAAAGGGTGGCTGCGTGGAGATTCAGGGACAGTGAAAAATATGCAGGCATGATTCACCAGGGAGCCGTTGTCGGGGTGTTTCACCAGTGTGTTTGTGTTTGACCTAGGTGAATCCTCCTTACCTCCTTCCTCCACCACTCTCAGCTGCCAGATGAAGCACTCCGGCGTGAGCTATCAGTCGACTCAACATTCACCTTGTATGGTGTTTCACCAGATGGTTCGACCTAGATGGATCCTCACCTCCTTCCTCCACCACTCTCAGCTGCCAGATGTAGCACTCCGGCGTGGCGGCGCACAGCATCGCGCACGCCTGAACTTTCTGCGTCTCGTCGTTAATCTCCTGCTCGTCCAGGTTACCCAACGCGTCGTGGTCCCAGATGTACCCTCGCCGCATCATTCCGCATTGTAACGACGGACATTCGTGCGCGAATAACGGCGGCGCGAACAGGGGGAGGAGGAGGAGAAGGGTTAGATAGAAAGCAGACGACGAAACAGAAAAAAATGCGCATGGTGCGGTGGTGAAATCTCAGTGAAGGTAAAAAAGGAAATGGTAAGGCCGAAGGAAATGCCAACAGAACAAGTACAAGATTGGGGGAAATGCAGGCCCAGTTTTACATCAAGGTTGGGAACAACAAACCTCGCCAACGGGAGTCCTGCTGGTGTTTTCTCCTGAGCGTTCGCCTTTGCCGAAACAAATATGTTTTGACGAAATAATCGTCCCAGGCTACTCTGCTTCGTTGATACCGCGAAAGTGCAAAACACCGTTTGAACAGCCCACTTGGGAGCTGAGTGAATGGACGAACTCAATGCGACAAAATCCTGCTTGTTACAACAGTCGTCGACGAAAGTGTCAGGCGACCTGATGAAAATCCCTGTGTTCAGAGTTCCCGCGCAACCTTCCATTGAGGTCCAAAAAAAGTCGGAAATTAGAGCTTTCAGCAATATTTGATGAAGGCGGCAGGACTCTGTATGCATTCAGTTAGGGCGATATGAGTTGGGCATTCTCAAGGCCGAATGCCGAGGCATGACATTAGTGACTCTTTGCAGAATCTGAGTGCAATAAATAGTTGGGTTATTATGGGAGTTGAGTCAGAGACGTCTTTATTTGAATTCAGGAGGACCAAGGGTGGATTGTGATGATTAGGGTGCATAGGACGACTCCAATAGGTCGCAGTTATACAATTTCTATAGATTCAGGAGCATTTGATTAGGTTTCCAGTTTTTTTTTTTAATGAAAGACGCTGCACTAGCAGCAAGACGTTGTGCGTCGTTGTTGGGATCTCGACCTAGGTTCTTTCATCGCAGCTCCCAGCGTCCTGTGTTCTCCTTATTACTTCCTATCTTATTGGGTTACACCACGTGGTTTAGTGATCGATTGCTGGAGTACCGTCTGAATTCATCGTAAGACCATTTGTTTCCAGTAGAATACCGCTTAGTTCATTAGACCGCTTGGCCTCGAGATAAGACAGCTCAGCCTCGTTATAACACCGCTTACCTTCATCTAACCACTTAGCTTCAATTGACCGTTAATCTTTTCTTCGCATGCGACGAAATGGCGGTGGAGTCGTTGGCGACGCTGTGCGTGTTGTCGCTGATCGACCATCGCGACCTGCTGGGCGACCTCGGCGACATGGACCTGTCGTTGCTGCGACCCGTGTTCGAACACTGCACGGCGGATCAACTGGACCGGATTGAGAACGAAAATAAGGTCAATCTCAAAAGAGCAGTTTGCGTTCTGCAGCCCTCCCTCATCTGCGTAGTACCCTGTTCGAGCACTGTAGCGCGGATTCATTGCCTATTTATGATTGAACTATAATCAGGTCGAAATGCATTTGCCAGCACTGGACTCAGTTAAGATGCTATCCCTGTACCGTTTTAACGACAGAACTGCTATCACTTTCCCTGCTTGTTCCCGGTTTCTTGTTCAGGATCGTGACTTCACCCCTTTCACAGACGACCTCTGGGAGCGGTGCTACGAACGCAGGTGTGCTCGCCTAGACTCTCCGCCTTTTTTCCTCCTCCCCGTCCTTCGCTTTCGTGCATTTCCATGTTCTCCCCGGCTTGACAATGTCCAATCAACCATGAGCCATCACCCATCAACCATCACCTATTTCTCATCACCCATGCATGACCCATCAACCATGACCCATGATGCAGGTACGGCATTGATGGCGTGGAGCAGGTTCAGGACAGAATGAAGCAAGCAAAAGTACTCTACACGTGGCGCCAGCTGTACCATGTAAGCTCCAGGCCTCAGAAACTTTGGTTTGGTTCTGGGCGCAGGTCATGGGCATGAAAACTCTGCTGCTTTCCCACAATTTTCCACACGCACGCTTTGGAACCACTGAAACCTCTCCCTCCCCGCTGCACTTCATCTCATTCCATCCCTCTTCCCTCTGCCGTCCACACATCAGGCTCGGCAGCAGGCAGATGATCGCACGCAGCAGAAGTGTGTTTCGCGGTTGAAAGAGCTTTATCACCGGGCAGAGGAAGGTACAAAGGTTTGGGTAAACGCGGATGCGGGTGAGACGCCGTTAAACAAGCTGAGCAGTGCTTTCAAGGATTAGAGATTGCTCGGCAAGACTCAAACGGCATCAGATAGTTTTAAACCACGTTCGATGAAATTTCTCCTGTTTAACCAGCCTTCATTCAGCATCTGTTTTTTGCTCCTTCCGGCTAACAGGTTTTCCTCTGACCATGGGTTTGCTTGCCGTTTTCGACGTGTATCCGTCTTCCTCGTTCGTTGTCACTTACGACCATTCTTCCTTCGCCTGCTGTCACCTCTTCCCCCACGTCTTGCTTCCGCCAGTGAAAAAGCAGCGGCGGCTGCAGGTGCTCGAGAAGCCGCGCCTCTCAGTCACACGCAGGAGAATGTTCTCCTCAGGTGTGCTATCAGGTATTTCAGGTGTTTTTTCTCTTCGGTTTTTGGATCTGCCGATCAGGTATGTCATAACTGGTGGTCATTATCATAAAATCTGATGCTGCGGTCTTGCAATCATAAGCCGTCTATCACACTTTCCCTGTTTGTCTCTCCCCTCGCCCCTCGCTGTCTCACTCTCCCCCACCCCTCACTTTCCCTTCATCTCTCCCCTCAAACCTCACTGTCCCTCTGTCACTCCCCCTCACCCGCTTCTGTCTCTGCAGGGCCCTCCTCTCAAGCAGCAGCCTGGGCGAACAAGGCAGGCAGCTCTATGCTCAAGAAGGCTCGCCTGGGATATGCTAACAGGTGGGCGGGACGTGGCGTCTTCGTGGATGGGTCTGGGGACTTATCATTCTCAGCCAATTGTTTGATTTGATACTCTCACATGCATAGGTTGTCTTCCCTGTCTCATCCCACATGTCCCCGCCTCCCCCCTTCCCCTCCTCCCCCCCCTCCCCTCCTCCCCTCCGACCCCCCTCCCCCGCTCCCCCCCTCTCCTCCTCCCCCCTCCCCCTCTCCTCCCCCCGCCTCCCTCCTCCTCCCCCTCTCCTTCCCCCATCCTCCCTCCCATTCTCCCCTCCGTATCACCTTGCAGTGTGCAGGCACGGCTAGTGTCAGATATCAAGAAGAAACCTCTCAACTACTCCCCGCCCCGCTCATACACACACAGACCCTCCTCGCTCTCCTCGCTCTCCTCCTCCCCAGCTGCACGGGCAACCAGCAGAGCCGCTGTTACCACCAGCCCTGCGGTTACAAGGCAGCTTAGTTCCACACGCGCATTTTCCGGGCAGCCGTCAGTCAATCACAGCCCTCATGCCCGCCTTTCTGCCCGGGAGTCACCTTCTGGCCGAGGCTTTTCCGAACCAGCAAGAGCCATGGGGATGGAGGCTCGGGGGCAGGTTCGGGAGCAGGCCAGGGGTTCGTCCGGAGCAGGCATCCTGAATATTGTTGACCATAGACAGGGTTTTGTGGGTGCAGAGGAGGCTTGGGAGGGCGGTAAGAGGAGATGCAGAGATGGAGAGGGAAGCAGAGAGAGACGAATGAACAGTGGCATAGACAGGGACAGAGACAGAGATTGGGAGTGGGAGAGTGGAGGAGGAGAAAGTGGAGAGGAAGAGAGAGATATGGAAGACCATGAGGAGGAGGAGAACCATGGGAAGAGGAGGAGAGAGACTGGCAGGGGAAGAGGGAGAGGGAACGGCAGGGATGCAGAGCAGGATGGGGAGTGGAATAGGAACAGAAGTAAAGGCTATGGCAGGGGTGTAGGTGGAGGCAACGACAGGAGGCAGGCTGATGGAGTGGGTGGGAAGAGCCAGCATGGGCAGACTGGCAGCAAGGAGCGTGTTGCTGAAAGAGGAGGTGAGTGATTGAAGGACACTGCAGGTTGATGGAAAGAGTGGGAGGAGCAACAGCTGTCATGTGCTGCCCGGGAGCATGGAGCGTGTTGGTAAGGAAAAAGGAGGTGAGATTTAGTTGACTCAAAGACCAGGGTCAGGGGGCAGGTTGATGGAACGGGTTGAGGAGCAAGAGCGGTGCTGTGCAGGCTGGCGGCAGGGAGCGTGGTACCAAGAGGAGAGGAGGTGATTGGAGGAGAGGGGAGATGAGTGAGGTGATAGGGGGGGTTACGAGTGAGGTGAGGTGGGTCCTTCCCTCCCTATTGTGCTGTGACTGCATTTCAAGCATCTTGCATCCCTCCCTTGCTCAGGGTGTGTATCCTACTGTGTGTGTATTCCCTATGCTCCATTCGACCTGTGTTTGCGCAGCAGGGAGTTTCAAGGGGAAGCGGAAGGTGGAGAGCAGCATGGACTGGGGCGTATAGGAGGCAGGCCACATGTAAATGTGTCCTTTGCAACAGCCGTTGCTCAATTGTGTATCCATCCATTCCATTTCTACATTCCCTGCACTCCATTCAACCTTTCGGTGAGCAGCAGGGAGTTTCAAGGGGAAGCGGAAGGTGGAGAGCAGCATGGATTGGGGCGTGTAGGAGGCGCATGTAAATACTTCCCTGTATCAGCCTGTTACAAAGTTGCTGCACACCTGTACTTATCTTCCGCTTGCCTCACTAGATTTCCCTGATGTAGTTCTCTTTGTTAGATCGCGTTCGGAACCTGGGGCCATATTTTCAGTGCCTTATGCTGTTGTGCAACTTTCTACATTGGTCTATTCTTTCATTCGTTATCTTGTGCTATGCCATCCGTCGTTGGTTTTTATCACTTAAGCCAAGAGGTATGACTAAATGCTTCGGTCAGGCAGGAGGTACATGGTCCAGCCAGGAGGTAAATGTTAAGGTGCAAAATAAACATGGGTCCACTAGAAGGCATTTATTCACAAGGGAGGAAGATGCAAGGCACAGTAAAACAGCATCTGTCTGTCTTTCCAGCTTCACAGCCCAAGCAGAGACTAGAAAACAAGGCCAGCGGTGGCGTGAATGAGCATCAGCAGCACTAAGTGCTTAGCCTAGTGCCTGCTTGGGCTGTGAGAGAGAGCCATTAACCGAGACTTGCAGCTTCCTCCCAGGCATGCTTGTCCTCCCTGCCACCATCAAATGCGCCCCGTGCTCCGACACTCCTCGTGCCCTCCATGCTCCAACGCCCACCGTCTTCAATCCCCTCCATTGACTGACCCTAACTGCCTTCCCCACTCACCTGATTTACAACTACACTCCAACACCAAAAGATGCATCCCCTCTAAAGCTCACAAAGCGCAGCTCATCCACTTCAGCAAACCAGACCCAGGTGATAACCATACCGTATGTCAACCCTCAGGCACCACCTGACATATAAAATAGCAGAAAGTGTACCTCCTCCACAGCCGTACATAAGAGAGCAGTTCATATGCACCCATCCCCTGTTCCCCCGTCTCCTGCCCTGCCTCCGCCAACCCCGCTACTTCATACGAGCCACAAGGGTGCCCTGTGCACCGACGCGCACTTGCAGGAAGATAGGCATGTTGGTGGAAATGCGGGTCACGAGGGCCGATGCCAGCGCTGCCGACACTCGAGTCTGCCCGACCATGGCGTAGGCGCCACCACTGGTACCCACCCATGCACCGTTCAGCACCGCAATCGGGGAGAGGGACGCCCCGACGGAGGCTCCCATGTTGCCCACTGAGCCTGCCATGTTCCCCACCGAGCCAACGAGGCTCCCTACGGCCCCGCCCACGCCGGAGACGAGGCCGGAGACCGAGCCTCCAAGGTTCGCCGAGGCTCCGAGGTTGGCGTTGATGCCGCCCGAGCCTGCGTTGACGGCAGCACCGGCTCCGGCTGAGGTGTTGAGGAGAGGGGAGGAGGCACCAAGGGAGGCAGAGCCGGAGAGAGAGCCATTGGGGAGAGACACGCCCACTCCTGCTCCCACGCCGGCTGACGTGTTGAGGAGACTGGAGGAGGCAGAGAGGCCGCCTGCTGCTGAGGCAGAGCCGGTGGGGAGGGAAGCGCCAATGCTGGCGCCAACACCAGCAGACGTGTTGAGCAGCCCCGTGGACGCAGCAACGCCGCCCGTTGCACCAACAGTGCCGTTGGGAAGGGAGACCCCTGCCGTGGCTCCTACCCCGGCTGATGTGTTGAGGAGGCCGGTGGAGGCAGCGAGAGAACCGTTTCCTGAGACTGTGCCGTTGGGAAGGGAGACGCCAACGGTGGTGCCAACACCAGCGGATGTGTTGAGGAGGGCGGTGGAAGCAGAGAGATCACCCGCTGCAGCGACAGAGCCGTTGGGGAGAGAGACGACGGCACCAGCGCCCACCCCTGCAGATGTGTTGAGCAGCGCGGTAGACGCCGAGACACCGCCTGCTGTGTTCACCATTCCGTTGGGAAGAGACGCTCCAATGGTAGCGCCAACACCAGCAGATGTGCCCATCAGGCCGGTAGACGCCGAGACACCTCCTGCTGTGTTCACCATTCCGTTGGGAAGAGACGCTCCAATGGTAGCGCCAACACCAGCAGATGTGCCCATCAGGCCGGTAGACGCCGAGACACCACCTGCCGCATCCACCGTTCCGTTGGGAAGAGACGCCCCCACTGTGGCACCAACACCCGCGGAGGTGTTAAGAAGGCTGGCTGAGGCTCCAGCAGCGGCGCCCGCGGTGGCGTTGAGGGGATTCGCTGTGAGAGAGGAGCCGAGCTGAGCCGAGAGAGCCGGTTCGAGGGCGAGAGAGGCGGCGGTGGCAGTGGAGGTGGTGGAGGAGGAGGAGGGGCAGGGTTTGGCGGTGAGGAGGTGGGGCTTGGAGGAGGGGCGCGTGCCGGCCTGGGTGGTGAGCTTGTAGGTGAGGAAGAGAGCAAGTCCCCTGTGGTGTGGCGGAGGGAAAGCGTGAGTTAGGGTGGGGGATAAGTGGGAGATGAGTGAGGGTGATGAATTGAGTTGAGTAAAAGCACTGGCCCCATCATTTCTTTAGCTACGAAGCTGTGTGGTCTTGCGAGTTCCCAGGAGTGCTCGAAAGTGCTCAGGAGTGCTGGGGAGTGCTGAGGGTCGCTCAGGGGTTCTCAGGAGTGTCCAGGGGTGCTTAGCTTATTATGAGTGCCTGTGCGACTCACCTTCTCACGAGCTCCAGCTGGGCTGACCCCTCAGTCTCGCCAGAGCCACACATCACCAGAGGGCCGTTCACCAATGCTGCACGCAGGGGATATGTAAAAGCAGGGAAGTGGGAAGTGAGGGCGTTATTGGTGGTGAGGAGTTATGGGAGAATTGGGTAACCGTAAATAATAGGAAAACATCAAATTGATGGAAAGAGAGCGAAAGAAGCATAACCCAGATAATGCATTTGCCGTCTACAGTTGTATCAATCGGTTCCGAGAAGTTTGCTCACCCAAAACTTGCGTTCGCATCCCCAACCGTATGGCAGACGCGGGGGGAATAATCAGAGCTGCATGGAGGTGAAGCGCAGAAGAAAATCAGCAGAGAATGAGCACAGGTCAGTTCTGTAAAATCTTAGGGACCATATTTGTTGAGTATGCAGAGATTCAAGCAGTGGGCGCATGCATGCTAGGCAAGACCAATAATATGCCTCTTACCTGAGAGGAGGATTGCCAGAGTCACGGCAGCCTGGATGCGAATGGTGGGCGCAGCCATAGTTGAGCGTGTGTTTTCAGGACGAGTAGTACCGTCGTTGCTTTCGGTGTGCTTCAGACAGTAGTAGTGGTGGTAGTTCTGGTTGGATTGGTCTGCACGGAGTGTGAGAGGAATTGGCGATGTCTCTGTGAGGTGCTTCGTTGAAATTTATGCTGTTTGATTCTAGGAATCCAGCATCGAGCCGCGACATTGGATGGCGGTGCGGTCGGCTTGGGCTGGCGGAAGAGCGGACACGTGTCGATGAATTGATACGTCGTAGGAGCAGGTGCTCCGACGCTCGCGAAAGCTCGCTCGTGTAAATACGAATTGACGACACTGCTTTTGCTGTTTCGCCAACTCGTTCGTCTGAAGTTTTCATGCGAAGGATTTGTCGGAGGGGTGGCTGAAGTGACGGAATGGGGGTAGGTGCGTGTCGGTTCGTCGGATTCGCTTGTAACAACATGGTCTCGCGAAGACCAGGGGGTGATTCACTAGGAACCACACCACATTATGGACCTAGAGGAACAGCATAACCTGAAATGAACACAATAACAAAACTGCCATATTCCGCTCAAATCGGTACTGGCGTGTAACTTGTGATTTTTTAAAATATATTAGCCTTGACAGATTTCGCCGGCGTATATATTCCATAAATTAAGGTGTTTTTTTTTTCAATTCCAGGAGGAAGTAGTAGGAACTGGGAGAACAAGAATCATCAATAATAGTATGGGCTGGTTGTGAGTGTTGGGGATAGGATAATGCTATTATGTTGTGTCATATTGTTATGTTCTAGTACACAAACGCAACTTCTGACACGTCACCTTTCCCCTTATCGATCAGCCAATCCGCGGCTCCCGTGCTTGGGTATGACAGAGATCTGCCCGTGTTCATTGAGGAAGCGCGTGCCTGGCGGAACGTTCCCTTGGGAATTGCACGCCACGGGACGGGAGTCGGCCGTTTGCGGAGAAAGCGGAGATCCTTCGGGAAGCTCGTGTGGGGGAACAAGTTCACACCCGCTCCATTGCGCCTTCCGCTTGCGCGAGCGACTCAACTCCTGCGCCTGTGTACAGAGCAGATTCAACAAAAAAAAACATGAACTCAAGGTCTTGGGTTTGTCGTCAATAGGAGCGTCACTAGACTAGTTTTAGGAACCCCCAGAATTTCCTAACTTGTCATCGTTGAGATATTTCAAGAGAACCTTACCAGCAGAAGTAAGGATCAAACTGCCGGTGCGCAGCGTAGACGCATCAGACCAGCGCACAGCTCCGCAAGCCGACATTTTGCGTGATCCAGCTTTTTTAAATTCACGTTCCTAGCCTTTGTAAGCGATCCTGCAATGCCGTACGTACCACCTCATTTACGCAACTCGGCGGGCGGGTCGGCTGGAGGTTCCGCCCCCCCGTCATCCTCCCAAGGAGGCCGATCCGATCCCCCAGGCCGGTACGGCGATCGGAACGACTATGGCAGCTTCGGCTCTAGAAGCTACGGCTCTCGAGATAGAGACGATCGGAGGGATAGGGATGACAGAGGGAGCAGGGACGGCGGCAGCAGGGATGGCGGCAGCAGCAGCTTCAGCAGCAGCCGTCGGCCGGTAGAGACCCGGGGAAGCGGCCCTCCAGAGCCGGTCTGCCCGGCATGGAAGCCGTCGGACCGCGTGATCCGCTTGCAAGAAGACCAGGTTAGCTTCTGATCCGTTAAAATATGTCAGTTTCGGCGTTAAGAGATGTCAGTCCCGGATAATACACGGTCTGAAGTTGTCGTCTGCTTGCAATAATTCTATAGCTCCTAACCTATACGAAAAGACGGACCAGGATAGAAGCGTCTGACCATGTGAATCGTTTGCAAGCGGATTAGGGTATCTTCTGATCTCTTCAGATACGAGCGTCCTGGATGTAAGGCGTCTGACCGTTCAATATGTCATCCGCATGCAAGGAGATCAGGTCTGCTATTTGATTCCTTCAGATTGGTTGTCCTGAAAATTAGTCATGTAACCGCTTGCTATGTCCTGATGATATGTCGTCCGCTTCCTTCTGTTCAACGCGAAACACGGAGACTACTGGTTACATCCATACGATCTCGTTACGGGCATAGTTCTTTTGTTACGTCACTCATGTTCCTCAATCATGCTCGTGATGCCAAGTTGGAAGTATGTGTCAATGTTTCATGAAATGCGACATGCGTCATTATCGTATATAGCAGTAAGTCACGGAATCTCGTAGGTTCGCAGTTTCAGTCTTCTGTGGTCCGTCCACGTCTACGCGTTTGAATGGACTGAAAATTCATACCGATAATCTCTTGTTGGTGTCAATCGTAACCCTCTTGTGCTGAAATTCTGCTCTATATACCTTTTACCATGTAATTGTTTGTTATTGATCTGGCATTATCCCGACACTGTATGAACACCATTTTTCTAATGCTGAACGACAATGAATGACGCAGGATGGCTTTCATTGACACTGAATGGCACTGACTGACACTGAATGACATTGACTGACACTGTATGACATTGACTGACACTGAATGACACTGCACGGACACTGTCTGGTTCTGAATGTTACCGAATTGCATTAACTGACACTGAATGACATTGACTGACACTGTATGACACTGCACGGACACTGTCTGGTTCTGAATGTTACCGAATTGCATTAACTGACACTGAATGGCATTGACTGACATTGAATGACACTGCATGGGTACCGTCTGGCTCTGAGTGTCCCGCATCAACTGATACTGAATGGCATTGTTTGACACTGAATGGCATTGACTGACTCTGAATGTCACCTAATGAGATTGATTCACACCGGATGCCATTGATCGACACTTATCACACTGCATGGTACTGATTGGCTCTAAATGTTTCTGCATCCTTCAAATTGATGACACTGACTGCCATTTCCCTGCTACAGATCGCCGAGGTCCGCGCGCGGCTGAACGTGACGGTGGAGGTCACGCCTGGCACGGGCGTTGCTCCCGCTCCAGTCGAGTCGTTTGACGACATGGTGAGTTCATTTTATTATCATTTATTACTTTTATGTTCTCCCTTGCACCCAACCATCTCAAAGGACATAGTGTACCACAGCTACACCGACCCCACGCCCATCAGTCCCATCTTACCAACATCCCGCCTTCCTCGTTTCGTTCCTCTCTTTCCCTCCTCCCCCAACCCCCCCACCAACTTCAGGGCCTGCACCCGAACATCTCAAAAGACATCGTGTACCACAGCTACACCAACCCCACGCCCATCCAGGCGCAGGCCATGCCTATCGCGCTCTCCAACCGCGACCTTCTCGGCTGTGCTGAAACCGGCAGCGGCAAGACCGCCGCCTTCGCCATCCCCATGATTCAAGTGAGCCGCTCGCACCTGCCATTCCATGTGTCCGCACGCCTTCGCCATCCCCGTGATCCTGGTACGCTGCCTGAGCTGCCTGTAGAGGCAACTCAACAGCCACCGTCTCTTCCTTTCTTCTCCCTCCTCTGCACCCTCAATCCACAGAGGTGCCTGAATGCCCTCTCGTTTCCGGCTGTCTTGTTCGTAGGAGATTTATATTAATATTCTTCGACTTTTTTGCCCTCCCTCGCCGGTTCCTGCATGTCTCCTAACTCCCCTTCCCGTCTGCATTGGACCGCCTGGTCTCCTCCCCCGCCCCCCTCCTCTCTCCTCCCCCTCGCATCTGCCCGCAGCACTGCCTGCATCTCCGCCCCCTCTGCAACAGGGCGATGATTTCTTAGACGTCTCAACAATATTCTGCCCCCCACCCCTTCCCCCCTCGCGCCCGCCCGCAGCACTGCCTGCATCAAGCGCCTCTGCGGCCGGGCGATGGGCCTCTGGCGCTCGTGCTGGCGCCCACCCGCGAGCTGGCACAGCAGATTGAGAAGGAGGTGAGGCACGTGTCGAGTCGAGAGGCATGGAAGTGGCGTAGTTTGAGGTGATGTAGCATGCAGCTTGCGGTGCCTCTTCTGCCACGCACTTGCGCACACACTCCACCCCTTCCAAACTTCAAGTGAAAGCCGTCTCTATCCTTTTGCCTGCTCTTTCCGCAAAACCTGAAACCCCAAACCCGAAACCCCAGGTGAAAGCGTTCAGCCTGTCATCGGATGGGTTCAAGACGGCGATCATAGTGGGCGGCACGCACATGAGCGAGCAGTGGTCGGTGCTGCGAGGGGGCGTGCAGGTGGTGGTGGCGACACTTACCACCCCCATACCCACGCCGTACCCCTCTTGCTGCACTTTCTCCAACCCCTCATAAATCCTCACCCCAGGTGAAAGCGTTCAGCCTGTCATCGGATGGGTTTAAGACGGCCATCATAGTGGGCGGGACGCACATGAGCGAGCAGCGGTCGGTGCTGCGAGGGGGCGTGCAGGTGGTGGTGGCGACGCCGGGACGATTCATCGACCATCTGCAGCAGGGCAACACATCGCTGGCGCGTGTGTCTTTTGTTGTGCTGGACGAGGCTGACAGGATGCTGGACATGGGATTCGAACCCCAGATGAAGGAGGTGAGGGCGCAGCGGTGGAGTTGGGTTCGAGAGGGTTGAAAGAGAAGAGTTGCAAGGTGGTACATGTGGTGTAGTGTTGTGGGACGAGGCTGACAGGATGCTGGACATGGGATTCGAACCCCAGATGAAGGAGGTGAGGGCAGAATAAGGAGCTGAGAGACGCAGGGGTGAAATTGGGTTCAGGAGGGTCAAAAGGGCAGACTTGAAAAGGGGGTACATGTGGTGTGGTGTTGTGAAACGAGGCTGACCACATGCGTGACATGGGGTTCAAGAAACGGATGAAGAAGGTGATAGTGCGTCCATTCCACTACCCCACATTTCCCTACCCCACATTTCCCTACCCCTCCTCCCCCCCACAGATCATGTCGAACCTGCCGAAGCAGCACCAGACGCTGCTGTTCTCGGCGACCATGCCGGAGGAGATAGAGGCGCTGGCGCAGGAGTACCTCAAGACGCCCGTGCGCGTCAAGGTGGCTCCTTTGGGTGTCTCTGATTGGCCCAGGAGTGCCTGTGCGTGTCAAGGTGGGCGCGCTACCCCTGTCTCCCCCCTTCTCTCCCCCCGTCTTACACCCCACCACCCTCCCTCCCCGCCCCGCTGCAGATCATGTCAAACCTGCCAAAGCAGCACCAGACGCTGCTGTTCTCAGCCACGATGCCGGAGGAAATAGAGGCGCTGGCGCAGGAGTACCTCAAGACGCCCGTGCGCGTCAAGGTGGGGCGCGTCAGCAGCCCCACGCAGAACGTGACCCAGTCGCTGGAGAAGGTGCCTGAGAAGGACAAGGTGGATCGGCTGCTGCAGCTGCTGGTGGAGGAGATGGCCGCTGCAGAGAGCGGGCAGCAGCCGCTGCCACTCACCATCGTGTTTGTGGAGCGCAAGGTGCGTTGCAGGGGGGTGGCAAGATTAACCAAGAGTTGTGGTATCTTCCCCATCCCATCATTTTCGTCAGGTCATTGTGAGGTGCGTGGCAGCGGCCGCTGCCACTCACCATCGTGTTTGTGTAGCGCAAGGTGAGATGCAGGGGATAGTCTTCTAGCCGAGGGTGCTTTTTGTGCTGAAGTGACTCACTCATTTACTGTCACTTACCATCATTTACTTTCTGTGCCAACACCTAATCCGCCCAAACCCTCTCACTCCTTTGTTCAAACATCCTATCCTGCTTTCAAACACCCTATCCTGTTATTTCCATCTGTTTCTCTCCCTTGTTATCAACCCCTTACGTCCTATCCAACTGTCGTCTGATAACAACAACAGGTGAAGTGTGACGAGGTGTGCGAGGCGCTGACAGCGCAGGGCCTCAAGGCAGCAAATATTCCCAAAAACCCACCATCCGCTTGTCTCTCTCCTGCTCGTTCTTGCCCTCACCAGGTGAAGTGTGACGAGGTATGCGAGGCGCTGACAGCGCAGGGGCTCAAGGCAGCAGCACTGCATGGGGGGCGCAGCCAGGGGGAGAGAGAGGCGGCGCTGCTGGACTTCCGCAAAAACACCATCAACATCCTTGTAAGTGCCAGGGGGCTGTGACCTCAGGGCTGGATGCTGTGGGCTGGATGGTGGGGGCTGGGTGCTGAGGGCTTGTTTCTGGTTTTGTTGCTGGGTTTGAAGCCAGGGAGAGAGAGAGAGGCGGCGCTGCTGGACTTGCGCAAGAACACCATCAACATCCTCGTGAGTGCTCAGCCTTGGATGCTGGATGTATGCTGAGCGCTTCTTCCTCAGCTTGTTCCTGGATTCCAACTTCTTGTTGCTCGTGACAGCTTTCTGCTGCTCTTCCCATAAAAAACACCACTGAATATCCTTGTTGGTGTTGGGCGCTGGGTGCTCATGCCAACCACGTGTTCATTCCTCCAGGTGGCAACGGTCGTGGTATCCAGCGATGATTGTTTCGGCCTTTTTAAGCATTTCAACCACGTGTTCATTCCTGCAGGTGGCAACGGACGTGGCATCAAGAGGGCTGGATGTGTCAGGAGTAGCGCTCGTCGTCAACATGGACCTCCCCAAGGTGACCCCTTGCTTGCCCTCTGCTGCATGCCCCATGCCTCATTCCCCCATGCGCCATGCCCCATGCCTCATTCATTCCCCCATGCGCCATGCCCCATGCCTCATTCATTCCCCCATGCGCCATGCCCCATGCCTCATTCATTCCCCCATGCGCCATGCCCCATGCCTCATTCCCCCATGCGCCATGCCCCATGCCTCATTCCCCCATGCGCCATGCCCCATGCCTCATTCCCCCATGCGCCATGCCCATGCCTCATTCCCCCATGCGCCATGCCCCATGCCTCATTCCCCCATGCGCCATGCCCCATGCCTCATTCCCCCATGCGCCATGCCCATGCCTCATTCCCCCATGCGCCATGCCCCATGCCTCATTCCCCCATGTGCCATGCCCCATTCCTCATTCCCCATACCTTAGGCCTCATGAAAATGATGAAAGTTGTCTCTTGCCATACACATCTCCCCCACCTCCCCACACAGGCCCTAGAGGACTATGTGCACCGCATCGGGCGAACAGGGCGAGCAGGGGCGTCTGGGCGAGCCGTTTCCTTCTACACTGATAGGGATGCGGTGAGATGGGGTGTATGGTGATTGGCGCATGGTGATGGGTGCATGGTGATGGGCGCAAGGTGATGGGTGCATGGTGATGGGCGCATGGTGTCGGGGGCATGGTGATGGGGGCATGGTGATGGGGGAATGGTGATGGGTCATGCAGCATGCGTCTTGCATGCAGCCTTCTGTCTTAACAGTATCACTTTTTGTTCACTCGTCCTACTCCTTTTTTTTAGTCCGTTTGCTGTGTTGAAACCCGTTTCTTGTTCTTCTTCCACCTCCCATTCTTCTTCCACCTCCCATTCTTCTTCCCAGTTTCTGGTGGCTCAGATCAAAAAAGCACTGTCAGAGGCAGAGGCAGGCAACACCATGGCGTTCGCGACTGGCAAGGTATGGCAACAATGCTACACTGCCCTTGACTGACTACTTCTCCACTCTTCTTTCAGTTTCTGGTAGCTCGGATCAATAATCCCTGTGTGAGGCAGAGGCAGGCAGGTAACACCATGGTGTGTTGAGGTGGTAGCGTGAGGGATAACGTAAGGTAGGTTAAAAAAAGAAATGCCTCAATCCATTTTCCCTGCATCCCCATCTGCCTTTGCTTTCCCTGTATCCCACCTTGTTTTTTAGCCCTTCGCCCCTTGTGCCTCATCATCTCACAATTCTCATGCCTTGTCTTCCCCGTCATCTCTCAGGCTGCAAGGAGGAAGGAGAAGGAGGAGGCAGCAGCGTTCCGGGAAAATCGGGCAGCAACTGCCGCAAATGTGACGATGATAGGGGCAACAGCAGTGAAGATAGTGGATCAGAAATACAAGCACATGATTGTGGCTCAAGCAGGACCGGATAAGGTGGAGGGGGTGGCAGATGATGCATGGGATGATTAGGAGCGGGGGATCTGCGAGTTGGAAGGGTAATGGGAATATGGAAAGCTTCAAAACACTCACGTTGAAAATGACAGTTGCCAATGGCAAGCAAACATGCACGAATAATGATATTTTTCTTGTGGAGTTATTTCATTCCTTTTTTTTTTAATGGAGTTTTGCATGCGATACAATGAGGTGCTGTGTGGTGTGATTTACGGAGAAAATCAATGGCCAATGGCAAACCTTGTTTCACCGAGCGCAGCAATATTCAATGGACTCGTCGCAATCGCCAGGGCTTCGAAACTTCATGCTCCAACATTTGTCAGACCGTGCATCACCGTCACCCTTTCATTTTGCCTGCCAACACTGATTCATTCAGACAACGGTATATGGTTTTCAAGTCAAATGTATAAAACGGTGAAATTTATCAGAGACTGATGACATTGAGTATAAATGTGCGTGGCCGAGCGATCTTTTTGAAAGTTTCGTACCAACTACTTCACCAGTGACGTGTCGAGCGAGTTTTTACAGCAAGATCCACTTGCTTTTTATTGTAGACGTTGCTGGTAACGTTCAAGATGAGATCATTCTCCGATTATAACTTGTACCTTCAATCCGTGAGGCCTCAAATAATGTCAATTGTGTCACATATTACCGTATTCTCCCGGACATAACACCCTAGGGTATAGCTAAAAATACAGGGAAAAAATGGGGGGGGTCTCCTCATAGGAAAAAAATGCATAATACCCGGGTCTTATTATATTGCACATTTTTTTTTAAGCAGAAATGAATGGAAACAAGAACAGGGGTCTGGCCTTATTATTATTATTTTGATCAGGGCCGCCAAACCGCGTCTACGAGGGTAACGTCGTCTTCCACTGGAATCTGCCACATGGCAAATTCCAGTGGGCCCACTGTGCCACCTGATTGGTTGACATCAGTGCCAACCTCGAGCAGCTTGGGTTCATGCAGTACGAGGCCGGAATCGCGCACGGTGCTGTGTTGTCACTGTACCTGGGACCCCTTGACTCCCGTGTATGGTAGTCACGTCCAAGCTTCCTCACCCAAGCTTGCTCTTCTCTTCGTCAAGCGGTTCCAGTGCACGTCTTTAACAAATGTTCGGCAGGTTGTGAGAGCATCTCCTTCCTGTGCACGAGGGTATCGTCTTTAAAAGTAATTTCTCCCATGGCGAGTGACATCGACCTGCCTTAGTTCCCAAGCATGGCTTCATCTCCAGATTCTAGCAGTACGGTAGATAGGCGTAGGCGGCCTGTTTCCAGCAATCAGACTAGCGCTTCGCTACGCGCACGGACGTCTCCTCGCCCGATCTTTCCTCAACCAGATGATCCCGGTAGTGCTTCTACCAGGGATGAACCGAGCAGTAGCTTGGACCGTCCTCGCCCTACCCTTCCTCGAGTGGTTGTCCCCACGTTCCCGGAGCGGAACCGCCCGCAGGGACAGCAGAAGCGCAACGCCGATGCTGACCCGCCATCCCCTCGCCATCGCATGACGAAACGCCTGCGCAAGGGAATCACCGCAAAGGAGAAGCTCCACTGGTTGAAGCTGCAGGACTTGCAGCCCGACCTGTCGAATCGCGCCCTGGCGAAGCTCGCGAAGGTGCAGCCATGCCAGATCCGCGATTGGAAGAAGATGAGGGAGCGGCTGGAGGTCTCTTCCAGCTGCCGTCGTCGCCTCATGGGAGCTGGCCGCAAGTCCAAGTTCCCTTTCATGGAAAGGGCGGTCTATCGCCAGTTCCTCAAGCACAGGGGGAGGGGGCTCGCCGTTTCGGTCAGCATGCTCCAGAAGTGGAGCGCCAAGTACATGAAGCACCGGATGCCCGGGGTCAACTGGCGCGCATCGTTCCGCTGGGCGACTCGTTTCCGCGCGCGCTGGCATCTGGCGAGGCGGGTGAAGACGAAGCTGGGACAGAAGTTGGCAGCGGGTAAGTGTTGCGCCGTCGTGCTCCTTGATTGCCATCTCAGTTCTGAGCTAATGTGTCTCGTGGCTTTGCTTGCAGATTGCAAGGCCAAGGTGGAGTCATTTTGGGAGTTTGTACGCCAGATGCGCTCTCTGCACGACTACCCGCTTGACCTCATCTTGAACGCGGACCAAACCCCGCTTTTCCTGGAGATGCCGGCGGAGCGCACGCTCGAAATGAAGGGAGCGCGGTCGGTTCACGTACGGAGTGCGGGCTATGAGAAGGAGCGTGTTACTGTCATGCTGGCAGTAACTGCGAGCGGGCTCAAGCTGCCGCCGTACGTGGTGTTCAAGCGCAAGTCCATACCGAAGGTGCCCATCCCTGCCGGTAAGCGTAGCACGTTTAGGATGATGTCACTACTGCAGCCTGTCAACAGTCGCAACCGAATTTGACCCTAACGTACCGGTGTTCTTTGGCAGGTGTGGTGGTCCGTGCACAAGACAAAGGGTGGATGGACGAATCACTTGTGCAGGACTGGATCACCCAGGTGATGGTGCCGTTTCTGAAGCCCTTACGTAAATCAACTGGACGCCGCAAGGAGGCCTTGGTTGTGCTCGACTCCTACCGCGGCCACTTGACTGAGGCGGTCGGGCAGACCATGAGGATGTTTCGGCTGTCACGGGCTGTCATCCCAGGGGGCTGCACTCCGCTAGTGCAGCCTCTAGATGTGTCAATCAACCGCGCGTTCAAGTGCGGTGTGCGTCATCGCTACAGTGGCTGGTTCGAAGAAGAGGGCATCAACACCACCACCAAGTCCGGTGAGTTGAACCATGACATCCGCATGTGTAGCTTTGAATCAATGTCGGCTTACGCTATGGAAATTTACATTTGTCCTTCTCTACCCTTCCCCGTCCCTCAGGCAATCTCAAGAAGCCGCCAGCGGAGTTGGTGCTCCGCTGGATCGATGAGTCCTGGGAACCAATCCCCCAGGAGCTCGTGAAGAAGGCGTTCGTCACGTGTGGGATCTCCACCCCCATCGATGGCAGCGAGGACCACCTCATCCTTGCCCACATGCGGGACAAGGGTGAGGTGGAAGTCCTTGACGACGTCAACGACCTGGTTGACGACGAGCTCGTCGTCAACCCCTTCTACGTCGAAGTCCCCATGCCGGCCGAGGAGCTGCAGGCGGCGGCAGAGGAGGCTGACGCCGCTGAGGAGGATGCGGAAGCGGCGGCGGCAGAGGAGGAGGGGGGCGTGCTTGAGGAAGGCGGGGAGGCAGAAGAGCCCAGCGATGACGAATGGTGGCGCCCTGGCCGCTTTGACGGGGAAGACTGTGAAGAATGGCATGCAGGAGACGATTCTGAGTAGAAGGCACTTTGTATAGTGTTTTTTTAGGTGAAATTGTGGATGTGAGGTGCTCTTGTGGTGATGTTTCTGCAGTCTAGGTGACATTGTCGATGACTGGTATGTGCTGGCACATTACTTCTGTAGTACCTGTAAAGTACCCTGTATGCAATGTAAGCAAATTCAGTATTTTTGCCGCCCATAACACCCCCCCCGGGTCTTATAGAGAATCAGGCAAAAAGGGGGGTATAGTAGAAACGAGGCTCCCCATAACACCCACCCCGCACAAGCTACCCGGGGGTGTACAATTATGGGGGGGTGTTTTGTCCGGGAGAATACGGTAGAACAACACGCACAGACAGAAGGCGGCCGAGTTTACTCCAGAGCATGTCCGTATCAGCCAATATCTCCAGCGATGATTGGCTGTTATATATTATTTTTTTCCTTGCTGCTGGCACCTTGGCACTAGCTGTTTCTACACCACGTGACTGGGAACTTTGGGAACCACAAGGAGTTGAGGTTCTTATGACGAAACAGTTGAACACGATGAAGCAGCTGTACTACAGTACTCCAGCATCCTCGCCTTCACCTTCATTTACATGACAGGCTGTCACTCCACGTCAGCCACGTGTGGTGAGTGGTCAGCTGTGTCGAGTCATTTCGTCGAAGCTCTCAAATGACATCACACGTGACGTAATGCTTCGCTAAGCAACGAACGATTCCCACTCTTGTTACCCATTTCGTTCACTCTCCCACCAATCCGAACGTCTTCAGAAATTACCACGAGCCCAACCACCAAACCACACTGCCACGCCAGCTTCTACAATCGACGCTATCAGTCACTCAATGGGGAATCTCATTTCCTCACACCACGCGACTCGGATTTTTCTCATTCAAACGCAATGTACCAAGTTAGTCGATGCACATTGCCAAGCATGGCGGCTCGAAATCTCTCCTTGTTCCCCTGCGCCTACAAATTGCCCTCATATCCAACTGTGACCTCACACAAATCCACCACTGGTGGCACCCCATCTGCGGAAAACTCTAGTAAGAGAAGATCTCGAGTCGCTTCAGCTTCTTTGCGAAGCGAGAAACTCGACCCACTCGGCCGCACACTCCCCGTCGGTTCGGCGCGCGGAAGACCCCGTTTGTGCACGCTGCAGACGACAAGAGGTTGTTCCATCTCCTCCCTGACTCTTAAGGAGTCCTTAAGAAAAGACGCTTGGAACGATGGCGCACAGGCGGCACGGCTGCGAAGTTTCGCCTCAGACCTCGTGTTGTCTACTCCTATTGCTGGCGGCGTTCACGGCGGTTATGAGTAACCATTCTGCCTCCGCGGATGACGCGGCTTCCCTTCCCGAGTTGCTTTCCACCTACTCCAATGTTGCGTTGCTGGATCCGCGCTTCGAGCTCTATTGGACCGTCAACAGCAGCGACGCGACCATTCACATGGCATTGAATGCAAAAACTAAGGGATGGTTCGCTATAGGCATCTCCGAGATTGGCTCCATGGTGGGCTCAGGTACGAAAGTTCCTACGATCCAGTGGGGTGCGATAATACTGCTTCTTCATGTTAGTTACTATCCATGATTGATTTCCGATCTGGCTGTAGCATATGGGTGGGAGCCGCATTATAGAACGCATACATTCTGAGTCCGCCTAAGGATTTGCATTGGACGACTCACCTACTTACCTCACATTCCCTTGCACTCGCCGATTGAGTCGCTCACTTCCCTGTAATCTTCATCATTGAGTGATTCATCATCTGGTCACCCTAAACCCTCATTACCGGGCATCTCGCTCTCTCTGCGCGCTGCATTCGTGTGCTACCAGATGCCCTCGTCGCATGGGTCGCACAGTCCGAAGCCCGCGTGTATGCGACGGATCGCTTCATCTTCAACAAGACGACCGCGGGAATCGTACTCGACGACAAGCAGGACTGGCACATTCTGGGCGGCAGTCAGACCAAGAACCAATCCACGGGCGACACGTGGACCACCGTGCACGTGTGGCGCAAGCTGGACACGGGCGACTGCAACGACCGTCCCATAGTTCCCGGGAAGCTTCACAACGTCATCTGGGCGCTGGGCGCCACGGCTGTCGTCAGCTACCACAGCTCCGACCGCGGCGCGTCCTCTCTCGTGCTCGCTCCTGCCCCCGGCCCCTCCATTATCGCGCCCACGCCTCCCCCTTCCGCCTCCTCCTCCGCCTCCGCCTCCGCCTCCGCCTCCGCCTCCGCGTCCGCGTCCACTGCGTCTGATTCGCTCCGAGCATTTGGGAGGTTGGCTGCGCAGCAGCAGGCAGGGAAGCAGCAGCAGCAACAGGCGGCGCAGGAGAGCAGGCTGAATTTCACGTTCACCAACTACCGGGTGCCAACGAACCACACGACCTATCGCTGCAAGGTGCGTCACGGTATAGTGCGTTGCTGGACGGCTCCGGGCCGTGCGCCTTCTTCCATGCACGTATCATAGTGCATGTGTTCTCCGGGTACAATGTACTCACCCAATGCCCCCGAATGCCACCTCGTGTGCCTCTTTCGTTCTTGTGTGACACAGTAGAACCCTTTCCCATGCCCGCGAGACCCTTTCAGCACCCATCTGCACCGATCTGCACCCATTTGCGCCCCGAGATCATGTCCTCAGGTGGTGGACATTGCTCTCAAGACCAAGACTCATGCGGTTGAGTGGGGTATCGTGCTCAACTCTACTGACATCTCAGCCGTCCATCATGCCATCATCTACGGCTGCAAAGCGTAAGCAAGAATCTCCGCCCCCCTTCCCTCCAACATCATCTTCAAGATAAAAGCAGGGGAGACAACGGATAAGTCTCCCCTGCTTTTATCTCAGTTCTATTCTAGCGAAATATCTCGTTGCCACGGCTCAAGCTGTCTTTCACTCCTCCCCATCCTGGCCCCCCACAGTAAAGAGTACGGCAATCTCAAGGACGCAGGGACTGGCTTTGCCAGCAAACTCTGTTTCCGAAGCTGTTCTTCTTTCCTCCCCCACCCCGCCCCCCTCACAGCAAGGAGTACGGCAATCTCAAGGGCGCGGGGGCCGACTTTGACTGCCTGCACGACAACCCATGTGGCATCACTGTCGCCATGTGGGCTATGGGCGGCAGACCCTTCACTTACCCGCCCAATGTCGGCTATCCCATTGGCCCCGGATACTTCACCAAGTTCGTGCTGCAGGTGGGTACAGTGCGGTGCAAAACTGCTGTATGTCACGCATCTGGTTTCCTTCCTTCTACCCGCATGCCCACACAAATCTGACTCCTACCTATCTACCACACCCAGGAGTACCATCCTTGTTCCGTTATGAATCCCGGACCCTTCCAAACCACCTTTTCTTAACCCGGCGTTCCTATCAGTGTCAGATAGACCTCCCCTCGCCCTTCTCCCTGCGCTCTCTCTCTCTCTCTCTCCCTCTTTCAGGCGCACTGCACAAGCCCCATAGCGATTTCGATTTGAGTTGTTTCTGTTAGAAGTGGTTTCGCCGCTGCACCGACTTTAAGAGCGAAAAAACGACAAAAGGGATGCCTGGAAAATGCCTTACCTATGGCGGTGGGAAAGAATAGGCTTGAAATTGAGTTTCTGACGGCGGGAGAAGTTAGGTGTGAGAGCCTGAGGAAGAGCTGGTAAAAAACGAGGGTTTCAGGAGGAAGAGAAGGGAGAACGTTCTGGACCGCCAGAATTTTTCCAACCTTTCTGGAGGCGGCGTTCGGTGGAATTGAAGAAAGTCGGTTTCACCGACGGTTCAGTTTGAATTACGGTTTTTCAACGTCGGTTACTGTTACGAAATTCGGATTCGCGACGAGGCGCGTTACGCGAGGCGCACTTTGAAATTCGGATTTCGGATTGCTTAAATTGCATGTTCTGTTTTCCTCATTGTATCAGATTTTCATAGTGAAACTTTCTGTTTGCAACCTGGGTTGGAAAGCAACCTGTTTGAGCAACTTTCAGTTCAAGTTTGAAGCCCGCTACTGCTACTTTCGTGACTCCTAAGTCACGTGCTTACTACGACTGAGACCAAGAGCTGGTATCAGAGCTGGTTCTAGTGCGTTCCAAGTATCAAAGAAGGGCCAAGACTAGTTCCTGCATCATGCCGAACGGGGATGGTGAGGCAAGCTCGGGTTCTTCAGTCAGTGCTGAAGTTCCCCAAGTCCAAGCCCTCTTGGAGGCTCTAACACAAGGGCAAGTGGTGGCCAGGCCAACGATCGGCCTGAGCGAGGCGCAACGGTTCAATGGCAACAATTACAGCACATGGCGTCTTAAGTTCATGCGGCGGGCAAGAGAGATCGATATATGGCACTTCTACAAGGCGGACGAGGAGACGGAGGAAGGAGTACCTCCACCTGCAACGGCAACGGCACAAGAAAAGAGGACATACAAGAAGAAGAGTTTACAGGCCTTCTTCCAACTATGTCACTCGGTCTCAGACTCCATCGCTGTGGGGCTGGACCAGTTTGCAGACGACATGAATTCAGCACAACGTGCATGGGCATACATGGAAGCCGTATACCTCGGACGGACCGACACGAATCTGACTGCAGTGAGAAAGAAGCTGCTGCTGCTCGCAATGGAACAAACGGAGAAGATTATTGACTATGTCAATAGAGCCAAGAGCTACAATGACGATCTCACAGCAATGGGGGCGCCCGAATCAGAGAAGCACATGATGGGATACATCATCAGCGGCTTACCTAAGGAGTGGACGGCATAAATCGGAATCTTGACCTGCAACACGCCCAAGGACATGACACAGCTGCTCGAGACCCTCCAGGCGCTTGAGCTGGTCAAAGCTGACCTGAAACGGAGGGAAGCAGTGGAAACGGCAGCAGAGGAGAACAGGCCTGCAAATCTGAATGCAACAGCGACACCAAGGAACTCTGGCAACTGCTACCACTGCGGGAAAAAGGGTCACAAAGCTGCGGACTGTTATTCCAACCCCAATGCAAGAAACTACAAAGGGACAGGGCGCTGGCAGCAAAACAGCGAGACGGGACGTGGAGAAGGCTACAAGGCAAGCAGAGGATTCAATGGAAATTGCAACCATTGCGGCAAGTATGGGCACAAGGCTTCTGATTGCTACCACAACCGAGCTAGCAGAAACTTTCGAGGAAAGGAGCTGCAAAGGCCAGCAGCAGCAGCGAAGACAAACATGATGGAGGCTCCTACGGCTGTGGAAGAAACACCAAAGGTGGACCCCATCCTTGGAGGCGCTCACAAAGCCAACGTTGCTCGAGCATCCGAGGTGTGCCTGCTGTCCAAGGGATTCAAAGAAACTACTTGGTTTATGGACAGCGGGTGTACACGGCACATGACACACCGGGCTGATTGGCTACGCAACTACCGGGAATCTGGAGTCCCTTATGTCCTACTCGGGGATGAGGGAAAACTTCAAGTGCAAGGAGAAGGGGACCTGATCTTACAGAGTCCCTATGGGGAGCTGAAAATGGACAACGTTCTACTAGTTGAGAAGCTGTCCCTTAACCTCATAAGTCAAACGCAACTGGACAGCAGTGGCTGCAAGACCTTCATTGGCAATGGAAAGCTGTGGGTGTTCGGTCCCACCTGGAAACTGATAGCGGAAGGCGCAAGGACTGAAGGACTTTACGAGATGAAGCTGAAGGAGCAAAATACGCGTGAAGACAAGGTTACCTATCAACCTGAACCTGTGGAAGGGAAGAAGGCCCGAGAAGAGCTACGTACCATGCTGGAAAACACTGCAGTGGCCGAACTGCAGCAGCTGAAACTTCCGGTGGCAGCAGCGGCAGAAGCGGTTGACATCAGCCTTCTACACAAGAGGATGGGGCACGCAAGCACTCAACGGATCAAGGAAATGATGAAGAAAAACATGGCTGCGGGAGTGAAGGTGACGGGAGCTGAGGAAACCCATACTAAGTGCGACTCATGTGTTGAAGGGAAAGCTACAAAAGCTCCCCATCCAAGACATGGACCGAAGGAGCCATATGGGGCAATGGAAGTGGTGGCAGCGGACGTATGCGGTCCAATGAGGGTCACATCACGACATGGCAGCAGATACTTCGTCACGTTCACAGACATCGGCACAAGGCTCACATGGGTGACGGAAATCAAGGATAAAACTCAGGTTTTTCCGAGTTTTGTGGACTGGTTGGCAGAAGCTGAACGACAAAGCGGCAAGCAACTGAAAGTACTTCGAACCGACAACGGCGGTGAATTCATCAACAAGGAGTTCAACGACTACCTGAAAGCCAAGGGAATACGACGGCAGCGTACTATTCCCCACACCCCTCAACACAACAGTATTGCGGAGCGGGTGAATAGGACACTACTCAACAGCGTGCGAAGCATGATAGCGGACAGCAAGCTACCTTTGAACTACTGGGGAGACGCGCTGGGCATGGCTTGCTGGCTGAAAAATCGCCTACCAACGAAGGGACTTGCAGCTGACCTGACACCTCATGAGGCATTCTACAAACGGAAGCCTAACCTGAAGTTTCTTCGGGTATGGGGCTGTATGACGCAATACAGGCCCCCTGCTGGAGCTGATCACAAACTCCTGCCAAGAGCACGGTGGGGGGTGCACTTGGGAACATGCCCGGAGAGCAAAGGCTGGATTATCAAAGACGTGGAGACTGGAATCGTGCTGGCGACCAGGGATGTGACATTCTACGAAAATCTCAACTACGTGGACTGGAAGGCAAGCAACAAGGGCACAACTCCGGGGACAGCTCCTGCCACACCTCAACGAGCGGAGGAACTACTTGAAGTTGCCCAAAACGAAGGCTTGGGGACAGCGAACAATGAAGGGGAAGAAGAAGAGGAGGAACATACCCAACCGGGAGTGGATTGGGTGTGGGAGCCAACTGAGGAGACGCTCAACCACAATGACATGGAAGAGACTCCTGCAACCCCACACCCGCCGAAATCAGCGAGCAACAAAGCTGAAGGCATTGGAGAGGATGAAGCTGACCCAATAGATCAGTCAAGCAATGAGGGAAAAAGCGACCCGTGGGAATTTTTCGAGACAAGCAACAATGACAAAGGAGCAGCAGAGATCGACAACTTGCTGCAGGATGGTGCTATTCTCATTGGGAGAGAGGAAGGAGGCACGAGCACGGAGAAATCAGGGGAGATGGAAGCAGGCACGTGTGCAAGTGATGCTTCGGTGAAAGGAGAGGAGCTGGGAAGAGGGATGCGGACGAAGAAGCCGAATCCGAGATACCAACAGCTCTTGATGACATGCTGGAAAGACGTGCACACTCACCTCCTCCTCACCTCGACGGCAACCGCGTTGATTACCAAGGAAAGGAGAGAGACTTACCACCTGCCACAAGAACCCTTGACCATCGAGGAGGCACTTTCTGGACCGAACAAGGAGCAGTGGAAAGCGGCTATACAAGAGGAGTTGGACACTCTCGCGGAAAGAGGCACTTGGAAACTCGTCCAAATGCCCGAAGGGAGGCACGCCGTTGGCGTCAAGTGGATTTTTAAGATAAAAACAGGTGACATGGGGCAGCTGGAGAGGTTCAAGGCGCGGCTGGTGGCCAAAGGCTACACGCAAGTGGAGGGGATCGACTACACGGAGACATATGCACCAGTCAGCAAGTTGACTACAGCAAGGACACTCTTCAAGATAGTTGCAGCACGCAACTACATCATGGTTCAACTTGACATCAAGAACGCTTTCCTCTATGGCGAACTTCGAGAAGACATCTACATGGATCAGCCTACAGGAATGGAGGACGGAACTGACAGAAAATGCAAGCTGTTGAAAGCGCTCTATGGGCTGAAACAAAGCCCTAGAGAGTGGTACAAGGCTATGGATGCACGCCTGCTCGAAGGAGGATTCCAGAAAAGTCAGTGCGACAGAGCACTTTACTGGAAAGGGGAAGGAAAGGAGAAAGTCTACCTCCTACTCTACGTCGACGACATCCTAGTGGCGGGAGCATTGGAGGACAGAGTTGAGGAGGTGTGTGCTCACCTTGCAGCCGTTTTTCAAGTGAAGCAGATCCCGCGAGCCACGTTGTTCCTGGGCATGAACCTGGAGCGGGACCGAGAAGGCAGGAAGCTGCTACTTTATCAAAAGAAGTACATTCAACGACTGCAAGAACGATTTGGGACACCAGACTGCACCAAGGCCATGACAACTCCGCTCAGCAGCCTCTCGGAGAAGGAAATCGATCCTGAAGAAGAACTCATCCAATGGGGCAGCAAGGAGCGAGCAGTGAAGGCTTACCAGTCACGCGTCGGATCGGTGATGTACCCCGTCTCTTGTACGCGGGTAGACGTCGCACATGCTGCCAGCTTCTTGGGGCAGAACGTGCTACAGCCAGAAGGCCCCAAGTGGAAGGAGATGCAGCGCACAATCGCTTATCTGCAGCAACGGGGAGAAGAGGGGCTACTCTACGAAGGCGGAGAAGAAACAATGGAGCTAATCGGATATGCTGATGCATCTCATGCATCAGACAAGAAGGACCGGAAGGGAGCTTATGGATACGTCTTTCTCCTGGGCGGGACAGCAATCACTTGGCAAGCAAAGAAGCTAAACGACATTGCACTCTCGAGCGCGGAAGCTGAATACATGGCGTTATTCTACGCCTGTCAAGAAGGAGTATGGCTTCGGCGTTTGATGCAAGAAATGGGGATACACATTGCAGGACCAACTACCATCAGATCGGACAGCATATCGGCCATAGCATTGGCGAAAAACGACAACTGGCACGGACGTACAAAGCACATGGACATCAAATACCATTGGGTGCGTGAACAGCTGGAGAAAAAGGCATTCACCTTTGAGTTCGTACGAACAGAAGATCAAGCAGCCGATTTCCTTACTAAGAACCTTCCGAAGGCTAATTTCGAGCGCTGCAAGTATCTCGTCGGGATGCGGAACCTGCAGGACTTACAGGGGAGCAAGGTGCAAGAACAGTGATGAAGATTTTCAGATCTAGGGTTAGCAGCAGCAAACCACAGGGGAGATTGTTAGAAGTGGTTTCGCCGCTGCACCGACTTTAAGAGCGAAAAAACGACAAAAGGGATGCCTGGAAAATGCCTTACCTATGGCGGTGGGAAAGAATAGGCTTGAAATTGAGTTTCTGACGGCGGGAGAAGTTAGGTGTGAGAGCCTGAGGAAGAGCTGGTAAAAAACGAGGGTTTCAGGAGGAAGAGAAGGGAGAACGTTCTGGACCGCCAGAATTTTTCCAACCTTTCTGGAGGCGGCGTTCGGTGGAATTGAAGAAAGTCGGTTTCACCGACGGTTCAGTTTGAATTACGGTTTTTCAACGTCGGTTACTGTTACGAAATTCGGATTCGCGACGAGGCGCGTTACGCGAGGCGCACTTTGAAATTCGGATTTCGGATTGCTTAAATTGCATGTTCTGTTTTCCTCATTGTATCAGATTTTCATAGTGAAACTTTCTGTTTGCAACCTGGGTTGGAAAGCAACCTGTTTGAGCAACTTTCAGTTCAAGTTTGAAGCCCGCTACTGCTACTTTCGTGACTCCTAAGTCACGTGCTTACTACGACTGAGACCAAGAGTTTCTTGAGTCGAATGTCTCAAATTCATCTGCCCCATAGCCCAATGTCTAGAAAATGCTCTCCAACAGCTGAACTGCACAAACCTTGCTTGATTTCAGTTTGACTCAGGATTCACGTCTCCTTTTTCCTTCTCCCTGCCCCTCCCCTTTCAGGTGCATTTCACGAACCCCAAGCGCCGGCCGGACCTGATCGGCAGCTCCGGGCTGTACCTGACTCTGGCGCCCTCCCTGCGTCCCATGGACGCATCCATCATGCTCACGGGCCCTGTGGCCTACGAGTACCTCATTCCCCTCAAAACCTTCCCTAATCCTTGCCCTTCCGCACCCCACCTTTCCCCCTTTCAGGTGCATTTCACCAACCCCAAGGCGCGAGCTGATCTCGTTGACAACTCCGGGCTGTACCTGAAGCTCGCCCCGTCCCTCTGTCCCATGGACGCGTCCATCATGCTCACGGGCCCCGTGCCCTACGAGGTACCTCATCCGCATTCCCCCTGCCATGCGGCCCTCCTCCCCGCGCCCTACCCTCCCTCCTCAGGTGCATTTTACCAATCCCAAGGGCCGCAATGATCTGATCGACAACTCCGGGCTGTACCTGAAGCTCGCCCCGACCCTCCGTTCCATGGACGCGTCCATCATGCTCACGGGCCCTGTCGCCTATGAGTATCTCATCCGCATCCCCCCCGCCATGCCCTCGTGGACGCAAGTCAGCACGTGCCCGGGCGAGTGCACTGCTGCCGTGTTCGGGAACGAGAGTGTGAAGATCATTGGGTCTGTGCTGCACCTTCACACTCTTGGGAGGCAGGTAAGGCCGCGAGAAGACTGTTACAGAGGCCAGGTGCACTGGACGGTGGTCAGCACGTGCCCGGGCGAGTGCACTGCCAAGGTGTTCGGGAATGAGAGTGTGAAGATCATTGGGTCTGTGCTGCACCTTCACACGCTGGGGCGACAGGTGAGGCCGTGAGAGTGTGGTGGGGCGACAGGTAAGGCCGTGAGAGTGTGGTGGGGCAGCAGGGAATGCCGTGAGAGTGTGGTGGGGAGGATCATTGCGCATGTGGCCCTGTGTTGCATGTGGCCCTGTGTTGCATGTGGACCTGTGTTGCACATGCACATGCTGACACGACAGGTGAGACATAAGAGGACTGTTAAGGGGTCAGGTGGAGAGGGGATGTGGCATGGCGTTTTGCGGCGTGGCGTCTATGGAAATCGCTTAACAAACTCGCCTCAGTTGTGTCCATTTCCACATGCTGTCCATTTCCCCATGCTGTCCATTTCCCCATGCTGTCCATTTCCCCATGCTGTCCATTTCCCCATGCTGCCCATTTCCCCATGCTGTCCATTTCCCCATGCTGTCCATTTCCCCATGCTGTCCATTTCCCCATGCTGCCCATTTCCCCATGCTGTCCATTTCCCCATGCTGTCCATTTCCCCATGCTGTCCATTTCCCCATGCTGTCCATTTCCCCATGCTGCCCATTTCCCCATGCTGTCCATTTCCCCATGCTGTCCATTTCCCCATGCTGCCCATTTCCCCATGCTGTCCATTTCCCCATGCTGCCCATTTCCCCATGCTACCCATTTCCCCATGCTACCCATTTCCACATGCTGCCTATTCCCCCATGCTGCCCAATTGCCCATGCTGCCCAATTGCCCATGCTGCCCATTTCCCCATCCACCCTCCCCCACTGTAGTTGTACACGGATGTGTTCAGGCGGGGCAGCAAGGTCGCAACTATCAACCGCCAGGACTATTAGTGAGTCGCCTTCGAAGAAACCCTTTCGAGACAAGTTGGTTATTGAGAATTCTCAGAAACTACCAGGACTACTAGTGAGTCCCATCCGAACCTTTTAACACCCTTCGCCACTCCTCACCCAACCGTCATCCCCCGTTTGCCTGCTGTAACGAATCCTTTTCAGTCCAGTCACTGCAACCCGGAGCACACCACACGTCCCACCACACCAGAGTTCGACCTGCTGCCAGGGGACGAGCTCACAAGAGCCTTCCACCCCTCCCTCCCTCCCTCCCTCTTTCTACTCTTCCCCACCCCCCATCACACCGCAACAGCGACTTTGCATTGCAGCAGACCATCCCCACCCCACTGGAGTTTGAGCTGCTGACAGGGGACGAGCTGACTAAAGCCCTCCCTCCCTCCCTCCCTCCCTATTTCCACTCTTCCCCGCCCTCCTCCTCTCACACCATCGCAGCGACTTTGCATCGCAGCAGACCATCCCCACCACGCCGGAGTTTGAGCTGCTGCCAGGGGACGAGCTGCGTACCTCGTGTGTCTGGGACTCCACTGCTCGCACCAACGTACGTGCCGCCCCCCATTCCCACCAACATACGTGCCTCTTAGCAACTGGATACCCTCCAACGTTACTGCATGTCAATGCCACCTGTGGCTGGGACTCCTCCCCCACTTCAACATACTTGCCTCGCCTCTCACAGTGTCTTTGAGCCAACTCAAAAGTCGCTCACTTATCAGTGTCTGCTTCGCTGTATTGTGACAAGCCCAATTTTGAGCTGCCTCAAAATCATCCCCCCTTTCAGCAAGGTGACTTTTGAGCCAACTCAAAAGTAACTCACTTATCTGTGTCTGCTTCGCTGTGTGGTCACAAGCCCCCCTTTTACAGCGGACTCCTCCACCCACTGTCCCTCTTCGCCCATCTCAACCCATCTCCGCCTGTCTCCACCAATTTCTGCCCATCTCCGCCCATCTCTGCCCATCTCTGCCCATCTCTGCCCATCTCTGCCCATCTCTACCCATCTCTGCCCATCTCTGCCCCTCTCCACCCCTTGCTTCACGCAGGTGACGCTGGGAGGGCCATCCACGGAGGACGAGATGTGCATTGACTACCTCGTGTACTACCCGGCACGTCAGGGCCAAGGTAAAGCTTCTTCTCCCCATGCACTTTGTTAAGGGACCCATCGTCTCTGTGGGGACCCATCGCCTCTCTGCTAGAGGTATCCACAGAGGCCGAGATGTGCATTGACTATCTCAACGCATGCGACGGCATATTTGCATCGCACAAAAGTACAGCTCTACTAATGTTCGTCGCGTCCCTTTTCCTCTTTTCCTCCCCCACCAGGGATTGACATGTGCTGCGACATATGAGAACGAGACTCTCGGCATGGACCTCAACTGCCCTACTGACACCTCCTCTCTTTCCCTCCCGCACCACTCCCCCACCAGAGATGGATATGTGTTACGACATGTGTGCATCATACGAGAACGACACATTTGGCACGGACCCCAACAGCCCCACGTTGTGCTTCCACCCTCCCACCTTTCCCATCCGCCACTACTCCGCCCCCTTGTCCCTCCCAACCAGAGATGGATATGTGTTACGACATGTGTGCATCATACGAGAACGATACATTTGGCACGGACCCCAACAGCCCCACGTTGTGCTTCCACCCTCCAACCTTTCCCATCCGCCACTACTCCGCCCCCTTGTCCCTCCCAACCAGAGATGGATATGTGTTATGACATGTGTGCATCATACTAGAACGACACTCTTGGCATGGACCCCAACAACCCTACTGCTTGCACCTCCTCTCTTTCCCTCCCGCACCTCTTCCCAAACAGAAATGGATATGTGTTATGACATGTGTGCGTCGTACGAGAACGACACTCTTGGCATGGACCCTAACAGCCCTACGCTCTCCAAGTTCTACGCGTGCGGGTCCAACTTCATCCCCACGTACCAGCCCTGCAAGATCACATTCGGTGCCAACGTGCCCATGAAATTCCTGAATGGCTGCCCAGCTGAGTAAGTTGAGACAGGACCGCACTGCACCACTTTACACCACAGCCCTACCCTGACACTCACACTTCATCCCCACCTACCAGCCCTGCAAGATCACCTTCGGCACCAACACGCTCATGAAAGTCCCTCAATGGTTGTCTGGCTGAGTAAGTGCCCACCACACCACACCACACCACACCAGACCACACCACACCACACCACACCAGACCACACCACACCGCACCGCACCACACCACACCACACCACACCATACCACACCACACCACACCACACCACACCACACCGCACCACACCACAACCCTACACTGCCACACCGTCTCAACACGCACTCACACTTCATCCCCACCTACCAGCCCTGCAGGATCACATTTACCTCCACACGCCCCTCACACTCAGCAGCATTGCAAACCGGCCTGCCCCCACTCCCTGCTGCTCCACCTTGTCACGCACCCACCCCTTGTTGTCCCCCCTTCCTCCTCCCCCCTCTCTCCCCTCCCCTGCGCACCACCCCTTTCCCTCAACCCTTGGCAGGACCCAGGCATCTCTGGCAGACATTCCCTCGGACACCGTCTCTGCACTGCTCTCCTCCCCCGCAACACCTGCACCTGCTGCTGCCCTCCCTCCTGCCGCTGCTGCTTCACCCCCTACCGCCCCTGGCAAGGCAGCACAAGCATCGTCATTCAACAGTGTCAGTGCCAGTGCTGTGACGGCTGTGGCCCTGCTCTGCTCCGTCATTGCCCTTCTGCTCTAAATTGAAATATAGGGGTCTTCGGTGTGGCTTCTTTGGGGTTCCTTTACTGATGCTGTTTTACCTTTTCGCAAGCCCTTCTGGCAAGGCTGCACATGCACTATCAGCTCAGAATGCAAATTTAAGAACAGTGGTGGCTGCGGCTCTCTTTTAATCCATTCTTGAATTGTGCTGTGAGCGGAAGAATAGCATTCTTATGTGTAGCTCAGAAGTACAAGTATATTATTGTGGCTCAATCGGCGTCACACAAGGTAGACGGAGTGTCAGATAATGCGTGGGATGATTATGAGATTGGAGCTGCAATTTGGAGGAACGATAGAGTACACGGGAAGCATCAAAACAAAAAAGTTGAAAATTACAGCTGCCAGTGGCAAGCAAACATGGTGGAAAGTGACATTTTTATTGTGTGAAGTCAATTCGATCCAGTTGTATCGTGAACTCGCTTGATTCGCCATAATGCGGTGGTTTTTGTCGAGTTTCTTGCAAAATCTTTGTGGGACAAGGTTGTTACAAGGCGAATCCCGACGAACCGACAGGCAGCCTAATGGCCCCCGCTCCGTCACTCTTTAGCCGCCCCTCCGACAATAGCGCAGGCGTGAATTCCCCAGAAGAACGAAATGACGAAACAGCAGAAGCAGTGTCGTCATTTCGCAATGACAAGAGCGAGCTTTCGCGAGCTGCCCTACTACGTCTCATTTCATCGACACGTGTCCCTCCTTCGGCCAGCCCAAGCCGACCGCACCGCCATCCATTGCCGCGGCTCGATGTTGAAATTTCCAGAACCAGGCAGCATAAATTTCAGCATTCCATACCGCAGACATCGCGAAGTCTCTCTCTCACTCTCCCACCAAATCAATCCAATCTGAACTACTAGTCCCAAAGCACTCTCGATTAAATACGAGTTATCCGCAACACAAGTTCAACTATGGCTGTTTCCACCGTCCGGGTTCAGGCTGCCGTGGTTCTGGCTCTCCTTCTCTCAGGTAAGAAGCATATTCTTGCTCTTGTTTGGCATGCATGCGTCTGCCATTTTGATGTGTGCTCAACAAATTTGGTCCCTAGATTTTTCCCCGAACTGAACTGTGCTCATGTGTTGCTTCTCTTCTGCGTTTGTGCCTTTTCACTTCTATGCAGCGTTGATTACTCCGCCCGCGTCTGCCATAAGGCTGGGGATTCGAACTCAAGTTCTGGGTGAGCAAACCAGTTTTTTGGGAACCGTTTGTCCTAACTTTCACAAACATGCTCTCTCCTGGAATATGCCACATTCTTTGCGGCGCTGTTTTTTACGCAACAATTTTATGTTGTTCAACGAAACGTTACCGTATCTCTCACCGAACATACCTCCACACCACCAACAACTTCACATACACATTCCCTGCGTGCAGCATCGGTGAGCGGCCCTCTGGTGATGTGTGGCTCGGGCGAGACGGATGGCTCAGCCCAGCTGGAGCTCGTGAGAAGGTGAGGTGAAGAGGCACTCGCGAGCCGCACAGGAATCTCCACCAAATCCCAGAGCACTAATAAAATCTTAGGCTCCTGGAGAATCAAAAGACCTCGCAGGGCACTAAAATATTTGGATAAGGCTGTGATGGCGCCACTGGCAGTGCCTTGAACACATGCATATTCTCAACTCAGTCCATCGTCCTTCCCTCACCCTTTCCCCATCCCCTCTCTCTCCGTTATGCGCGCCACAGGGGACTTGCTCTCTTCCTCACCTACAAGCTCACCACCCAGGCCGGCACGCGCCCCTCCTCCAAGCCCCACCTCCTCACCGCCAAACCCTGCCCCTCCTCCTCCTCCACCACCTCCACTGCCACCGCCGCCTCTCTCGCCCTCGACCCGGCTCTCTCGGCTCAGCTCGGCTCCTCTCTCACAGCCAATCCCCTCAACGCCACCGCGGGCGCCGCTGCTGGAGCCTCAGCCAGCCTTCTTAACACCTCCGCGGGTGTTGGTGCCACAGTGGGGGCGTCTCTTCCCAACGGAACGGTGGATGCGGCAGGAGGTGTCTCGGCGTCTACCAGCCTGATGGGCACATCTGCTGGTGTTGGCGCTACCATTGGAGCGTCTCTTCCCAATGGAATGGTGAACACAGCAGGAGGTGTCTCGGCGTCTACTGCGCTGCTCAACACATCTGCAGGTGTGGGCGCTGGTGCCGTCGTCTCTCCCCCCAACGGCTCTGTCGCTGCAGCGGGTGATCTCTCTGCTTCCACTGCCCTCCTCAACACATCCGCCGGTGTTGGCACCACCGTTGGCGTCTCCCTTCCCAACGGCACAGTCTCAGGAAACGGTTCTCTCGCTGCCTCCACCGGCCTCCTCAACACATCAGCCGGGGTAGGAGCCACGGCAGGGGTCTCCCTTCCCAACGGCACTGTTGGTGCAACGGGCGGTGTTGCTGCGTCCACGGGGCTGCTCAACACGTCTGCTGGTGTTGGCGCCAGCATTGGCGCTTCCCTTCCCACCGGCTCTGCCTCAGCAGCAGGCGGCCTCTCTGCCTCCTCCAGTCTCCTCAACACGTCAGCCGGCGTGGGGGCAGGAGTGGGCGTGTCTCTCCCCAATGGCTCCCTCTCCGGCTCTGCCTCCCTTGGTGCCTCCTCCCCTCTCCTCAACACCTCAGCCGGAGCCGGTGCTGCCGTCAACGCAGGCTCGGGCGGCATCAACGCCAACCTCGGAGCCTCGGCGAACCTCGGAGGCTCGGTCTCCGGCCTCATCTCCGGCGTGGGCGGGGCTGTGGGGAGCCTCGTTGGCTCGGCGGGGAACATGGCAGGCTCGGTGGGCAAAATGGGAGCCTCGGTTGCAGTCTCTCTCTCCCCGATTGCGGTGCTGAGCGGTGCGTGGGTGGGTACCAGTGGTGGCACCTACGCCATGGTCGGGCAGACTCGAGTGTCGGCAGCGCTGGCGTCTGCCCTCGTCACCCGCATGTCCACCAACATGCCCCTCTTCCTGCAAGTGCGCGTCGGGGCACAGGGCACCCTCGTGGCCAGGATGGAGTAGCAGGGCTGAGAGAAGAAGGGCTAGGGGGGTAAGGGTTGGATGGAACGTGGGAGAGTTGGTGTATGGAGTAAAGGGCGAGGGAGGAAGGGCCAAGGGGGTGAGAGGTCCGTGAAGCATGGAGTAGACGGGGGAGCTGGGGCATAGGGCACCATCATGGCCAGGAAGGAGGAGAGCGGGTGGGAGGGAGGGCTAGAAGGAGTGAGAATGGAGTATAGTTGCTGCATGGTGGTGACACTGACAGACCACTCTACTGTTTCTTGTCCCTTGCACCTGCCTCCCTTGTACATAAATGCTTCATGTGGACCCCAGCTTTCCCGGACTAACTCTTGCTAAGCCTCGTGCCAGCTGGCTGAGCGTGGCGTAACATCAGAGCGGAAAGGAATCAGAAGAAAGATGAAGAACGAATGAACGAAGGAACGAACGCTGGACAATGCGGTCAAGAGAAAGAACAGCCCCGGCTCTGAAACAAGAGAGGGATGAACACATAGGCGATAATAAATGAGAAAATCGGAAGGAAGAATGACTGCTGCACTACCCAGTCCCTACTATAATGCTGCAATGCCGAATCCTTTCCGCAATCACACAGACAAAAAATCAACCCTCTCTCCACCACGGACTGCCAGCCTCGTACTGCTTGTAAACAGTTCTCACTCGCCCCTTGCTTTCTTCCACCTGCTCCTCCCATCTCACAGAAAACGCCTGCAAGCCAATCGCCGCTTCCGGTGCTGTCCCAAACAGGTGCTTCGCCTGGGACAGCACCTCCGCATCCACAAATTCCCTTCTCCTCTCTTGCTGGCCTGAAATCCCCACTCCATTCCCTCTCACATCAACTGAACCTCGGTTGGGTGGTATGGTTGCTTTTAGAACCATAGGCGCGGCCTGCTGGGCTTGGGCGGGGCCGTACATGGTGTCACCGAGGAGGGGCGCGCCCAGCGCTGCAAACTGTGCTCGAAGCTGGGATGGGAGGACAGGGAGAAATGGGAGAAGGGAGAACATGGAATAGGGGAGAATGGGAAAGATGCACAAGTTGGGGTACGGTCAGGAGCTGAAGCTGAAGCTGCAACATCAGCGCATCCTCTCCCCTGGATCATAAGAGTAGCCTGCTGGGCTCGGGAGGGGCCGTACATGGTGTCACCGAGGAGGGGCGCGCCCAGCGCCGCAAACTGCGCTCGAAGCTGGGATGGGAGGACAGGGAGAAGAGGGAAATATGTACAAATTGAACAACAGTGCATCCTCTCCCTTGGACCATAGGTGCAGCCTGCTGGGCTTGGGCCAGGCCGTACATGGTGTCACCGAGGAGGGGCGCGCCCAGTGCTGCAAACTGTGCTCGAAGCTGGGATGGCCGAGTAGGGAAGACAGGGAAAGGGAGGGTGAGGGAAAGATGCAGACTTGAAGGCTCTGTCACGGCCTTGAGCTGAATCTGCAACATCAGCGAGCGCATCCTCTCACCTACGATGACACATCACGCACATGCGATACCATATTATCCCATCACCTACCACCCGAATCCACATCAGCTGAGCGCCGTACCTGGTGCGTTCTCCCTGTTATCAGCTCCACTAGGCACTCGTATGCCACGTCAGCAGCTGGCCAATAAGAGCAGTCCACGTCAGCAGAAGCCAGCGCAGAATCAGCAGGCCATGGCACCTCCTCCACTCGGCGAATCACGAGCTCGCAGCGCTGCCAGCCTGGCATGGCTTCTCGGGTTAAAATCTTCGGGGAGTATGGATCGGGCAGCATGAAATGTATGTGTCTGCCCGGAGCAGGAGCAGATGCGGTTAGGGCCTTGTAAAGCTTGCGGACCTTGCGACCCTGGAAGGAAGGGGGGGGGGGGGGGGGGGGGGAGGGAGGGGGGGCCGAGCCGAGGGATGCAAGAGGAGAGAAGAGACGAGAATGGAAAGTAGAGAAAAAAAAGAGCCTTCAAGAAGAGGGTTCATGGGGAAGACTACAGGCGCAAGGTGAGATGATGCAGGAACAAGAGGAGTCATGGAATGCTGCAGCATCAAGATTGCAGGATGGGATGGGACCGCATTGAGCACAGTGGCGGCGGCATTGGTGGTGGCGGCGGCGTTGGTGGTGGCGGTGGTGGTGATGGTGTGTGGGCGAGGCTACAGGGTCACGCGCGGACGGACCTGAAGCAACTGGTTGAAATGGCTGGCGAACTGGCGGTTCTTGGCCATCACCACACTGCAGGGAGCACGGACAAATTAAAACTTAGTCACATAGGAGTTATACAAGGCATGAGTGCTCATCGCCGACTGAAACTCTGAACCACAGGCTAACACGGGCTGGTGTGTGAACTACTAAACAAAAATGCCGCACACATTCCCAGCGGCATCTGTCCAACCAACCCCGGCTCCTCGACCCACCCACCCACCCACCCACCCACCAGCCCTGCGTGCAGAGGTCGAGCTGGTGGGTGAGCTGCAGCGGGCGATCGAGCTCCACGGCTTGCCCTCCAAAGAATGCGCAACACTCCAAGAGATTGTCCACTGTGCCGCCCACCTGCAGTGCAGTGCCCAAACAGCAGGGCAGTGCATCAGGAGGCACGGCACAGTTGAGGGCTGGAAAATAATCACACGGCCTGGATAAGTGAACGCACACTTGGGGTCTGAAACATGATGCCATTGACTGGAATGTGGGTGCTTGGCGAAAAGATTGAGTGAGTGGAGGGTGCTGTTGTGAGCAAAGGACTGGGTGGGAAATACTGGGTAGAAGCGAACAGAGGGTGTGACAGGGCCCTGGGTGAGGGAGCCGCTTACCGGAACGTTGTATGGCTTATCGATCACCACATAGTCATCCTCGTTAACAATCACCGACTTTCGCCAGTCAAAGCTGTAGCACCTGCATCCATCAAAGGAAGAATTTAGGGTCGTGCGGATAGGTAGCCACCTCAGCGTAGAAAACATCTGATGAAACCAGAGAAGAGCATTAGATTAGATACTATACTATCCACAAGCTCTGGGAGATTGTATCTGTGTTGGCTCACATTCTCATGGCACGTTTAAACTTTTACGCAGTGTGTGCTTCACTCACATGGGGAATCGCTTAGGATGCACGTGAACTCGGAGGTAACTGCCTGCCTTCACTCTCACTCCATACTCCTCCTCCCCCTCCTTCCCCTCCTCCCCTCCCTCCTGCTGCTGACATTTCTCCTCGCCTCTACCATTCCTCCCGTCCGTTTTGCCCCTCATTTCTCGCCCACTCCCCTTGCCCTTCTTCCCCCCCTTGTCTCGGGACCTCTGCCGTTGCCGCTTCTCCTTCTGCCCAACGCCTCTTCCCCGCACTCCCCCCACCTCCACCCTTCTAACCTTCTGCAACTCTGCCAATGTGACCTTTGGTTGACGCGAGGAGGAGGAAGAGGAGGAGGAAGCGGAGGTGGGAGAGGAGGGCGAGGAGGAGGGGTCAGTGGTGTGCTGGGCAATAAATTCAAGGTAGGCTTGAAGGGCCTCTGGAGGGAGGTTCGGAGGTGGGGGAGGTGGCACCTGGGCATGGTAGATCCCACCAAATCGTATCAAATCTGTGACGTATCTGCATGATTGGATGGGAGGCAAAGCACATGGAGTTCAGCATAGAAAATTAAAGATAGGGTCAAAGCAACAAAGGAAACAGAGTGAATTAATGCTCAAATGTCGGCTATGCTCATCGTGGTTTTGCTGCTTCAAGCTTCATGCTTCATGACTCATGCTCAAAGTGGTTTTGCTGCTTCATGCTTCATGATTCATGCGCAACGTGGTTTTGCTGCTTCATGCTTCATGATTCATGCTCAGCGTGCCGACTTACTCCCTCGGAAGCTCCAATGATTCAGCCACCACATCCACAACCCTGCCTTCTCGTTCCACCAATAGGTGCTCGACACGTGGCGGTAACTGTGGCTCTGGACGTAGCTGAAGCCGCGTGTAGGTGATCCCCGACCAATCGGGAAGCTGTGACAGCGGTTCGGAATTTCCTGCATTGCTGCTACTGGATGCGCCGCTTTCGGTGCCGTTGTTCACGGTGCTACGCACCGCTGTGATTCGCTTCCCCGCGCGCCAAACGTTCGCTCCCTTCGATCCTCCGTATGCACCGCCGCTTCCTGCGGCGAGGCTGAGACATTTAGGGCGATCGATGGTTGGGATGATATAAAAGAACGGCTTCACGACAAGCGCGTTGGTAGCACCGGCTGTTCTGATCCAGGAAAAGGATCGTTGCATCAATAAGAATGACTGATCAGTGAGCAGATGGCGCGTGACGGTCGGAAACAGCGCAGCGGAAGACACGCTGAGGCTGGGATTGGAAGTGTCGCAGACGTTGCAAGATGAAAATAGTTTGCTTTGGAATGAGGCGGGAATGGCGGTGGTTCACGACGTTTTGGGGATGGGATAGGGCGTCACGAAAAGCTCAACACACTACGGTTCAGTGAGTTGCCGTTAGCTTCATTATATAGGTCCTTATTCCATTTGTATACCATAATTTAATTTGTGTTCGCGACAGGAGCAGTGGGCGAATCGAGGCACGGTAGAACGCGAACCAGGCGAACATTGTTGGTTCTGAGCTGTTCCGTCACCTTTGTTACTTCTTGACTTCCACAAATATGGGATGGCCTCGTCAGCAGGCTAACACGTCGGCAACTACACCCCACACGGCGATCAGATGTGTCTGCCAAAGCATCCCCCTCGAAAATGACGATGCTTCGCAACCGTGGCCAATCGTTGCTGTTCAGCGACCAGCATAATTGCATCGTAGCCGCTTCTTTTGGATCAGACGAGATTCGCGCGACATTCTCAAGGAATCGGAACGGAATCCATGCTCTCCCCCAGTTCTGTTCTGTCCCAGGGGCATGCATTTCAAGTGCTATTTTTGTAGAATTGTAAATCCATTTTCCGATTGCCTCAGATCAGCAGTGAGTGCTAGCTGATCGACGAAGACTGTTTTGCTAGTAGGCGCAGCTCACTCTTCCTGGCTGCACTTGCTGGTTGTGGAGCATAATTTGCTTCCATGGCAGAAAAAGAAAGCGGTATATCCGTGGGAAAGGTGGCTGGAATTGCAGCATGGGCAACGATCACGCGGAAATTGGCACTCCCTTCTCTGCTTCGTGCGACGGAGCTTTTCGTTTTCAATGGCGAGGCTGTCGTTAATTCCGACATAATCCTTTCTCTCCTCGTATGTAATTGTGCTATAATTACATGTAGTAACAGCACAGATCCACTCACAAGCGAAAAGTTTGTTTAGTTTCCACCAGCCACTTCCGACATCCGATACCAAACCTTGGAAGCTGTATCAGCCAGCTAACTGGAACATTTCACGATTATCAATCATTTGTTTCACGTCACCTGGAAGCAACTGAATAATTACCCTAATCGCGGCTTTAAGCTCGAGACGTACTAACATAGTACCTTCTCACGCTCTAGTCTCCTTTAAGCCTTTTTCCCTCACCCCTATCTCTCCCGGCCAACAGGCGCTCTCCACGTGTCCGCTCTCGAAGGTCCAGAGCGTGATTCGTTTCGAGGATCCCAAGGAGACGCTGATCGGAGCGGTGGTCGCAGCGGTGTTGGGGCTTCACAACGTCGTCGTGCGCCGCGCCAAGCTGAACCGACTCAAGGAGCAATCGGTGAGCTCAAATGAACCGACGGTGAGCTGAAATGACCGACTCAAGGAGCAATCGGTGAGCTCAAATGAACCGACGGTGAGCTGAAATGACCGACTCAAGGAGCAATCGGTGAGCTGAACCTCCTAAAGGAAGAGTGTTTCTGGAACGTCAAAGGCGTGGCCGAAAAGAAGGTCGTTCTATACAATCCTGCAACGTTCCATACAATCCTTCACATCACGCGCAGTCCACGTGCATGCTCATGCAATCCTTCACATGCTGTCCACCGCAATGATCACACGATGCTTCATGTGCAGATTACATGCAATGCTCATGCGCTTCATCACGTGCAGTTCACATGCATGCTGATGCACTTGTTCACGTGCTGCCCACATGCATGCTCATGCAATTGTTCACGTGCTGCCCACATGCATGCTCATGCAATTGTTCACGTGCTGCCCACATGCATGCTCATACTGTCCTTCACATGCAACTATCCACATGCGCGCTTCCTTGCAGATGCTCCTGCCAGGGGAGGAGGCCGTCTGGCGCAGGAAGAACCTTCCTGGAAATGAGCTTGTGAGTGGGAACGTCTCTGCCGCTGTTGACAGGACACGATCAAGCACGGCCGGCATTTCTTCACAATTTTATAGTCTATTTATCCAAGAAAAATGGCTTCATTCAATGTGCATGACTGAGGATACATGGTGCAGTGATGATCACATGCGTTGCATCCATGATGAGCCTGGTGTGCCCAAGCGTTTCTTTGGTTCTATGGCGGCATGCATGAATGCATCACGATGCCATGGTATGCATAACAACTAAGGATGACGTCACCACTGCTGTCGCAACTCAACCATGTTGTCACCCCGTGCCATATCCCTCTTCGTTATGGTGCTATGCCATGCTAAGCTATGCCATGCCATGCCATGCGTTGTTACGCATTGTCATTTTACACTGTTTCGCGCACTACCTCACCCATTCCTCACTTGTTGATCTGTGTGCATGTGATTGTACATGTGCATGTGCATGTGCGTATGCTGGTCGTGCATCGCCATGTGCATGTGTCAGATGGTAGTGTCCTACGAGGAGGCCTCCACGTGCTATCACAACTTCTTCACCTTTGCTCGCCAGAGGTTCGCAGATGTGAGTGCCGGGCCTTGCCGTGCCATACCATTTTGTTCAGCCCTTTGCTGATGTGAGCGTTGTGTCACCCTGCTGAGTCCAAATGATTCCGCCCATCATATGTCATGCCATGCCATGCCATGCTGTGTCATGCCACATGATGCCACATACCAGCTGAGACCTCTTCTTCCCCCTTTCATTTCCCATTCCTCTTCATCCCATCCTCCCATTTCCCACCTGTTCCATTATCTCCCCTCCCCACAACAGAACCCCTGCCTGGGCACTCGAACCGGTGATGGATTCTCCTGGGAGAGCTACGAGCTCACGGCACGCCGAGCCTCCGACTTTGGTGCGGGGCTGGTGTACCTGGGGCTGAAGCCCGGCGACAGGTTCGGCATCTATAGCGTGAACAACGCGGAGTGGGTGCTGGCGGAGCTGGGAGGGTACTGCTACGGACTTGTCAACGTGTCACTGTGAGTATGGTGAAGGGCTGATGTGAGTATGGTGAAGGGCTGATGTAAGTATGGCGAAAGGGCGATGTGAGTATGTGCTCTTCTATTTACACCCTCTGCATCCCTCCAAACCTCTGCATCCCTCCACACTTCCCTCCCCGCCTCTGCACCCCTCTGCACCCCTCCCAGTTACGCCACACTGGGGCAGGAGGCGGTGAACCACGTGGTGAATCACTCCGAGATGGTGGCTGTGGTGTGCAGCGTGGAGGTGAGCGGTGGTGAGCGGTGGTGAGCGGAGGTGAGCGGTGGTGAGAGGTGATGTGCAGCATGGAGGTGCGAGTGGGAATGTGTGTGCTGTGTGAGTGCGTGTGGTTGGCTTGGTGGTTGTGTGGGGGTGGATGTAATCGCCATCCTAAGCCATGCTTCTCCCCTTCCAACTGCCTCCTCTCTCCCCTCTCTTTCCTCACCTCCCTTTCTCCACTCTCATTTTCCCCTCTCCCTTCCTCCCCACCCTCACCTCTCTATTCAATCTCTCCTTTCTCCTCCCCTCATGCCCACCGCTCTCCTGCTCCTATCGCTCTTTTCCCACAGACCCTCTCATTACTCTTCAAGATCCTGCCATCAAGCCCGGCGTGTAAGACAGTGATATACACATGCAGGGGGGCGGGCAGTCACCCAGTGACGCGGTCAGGCAGGCAGCAGAGGAAGCAGGCGTGCACTCAACTGTCTCACCCTCGTTCTTCACCCTCCTCCCATTTCCATTCCTCTCCTGCTCCTGCCCCTATTGCTCCCTTCCCCCAGACCCTCTCATCTCTCTTCAAGGCGCTGCCATCAGCCCCGGCAGTGAAGACGGTGATATACATGCAGGGGGGCGGGCAGGGACCCAGTGACGCGGTCAGGCAGGCAGCAGAGGATGCGGGCGTGCAGTCAACTCTTCCACTCACTCGCATTCTTCTCCTGCCCCTACTGTTCCCCCTACGCAGACCCTCTCATCTCTCTTCAAGGCACTGCCATCAGCCCCGGCAGTGAAGACGGTGATATACATGCAGGGGGGCGGGCAGGCACCCAGCGACGCGGACAGGCAGACAGCAGAGGATGCGGGCGTGAAGCTGATTCCGTTCTCGCAGGTGGAGGAGTGGGGCGCGCAGAACCCCCAGGAGCACACCCCCCCCAAGCCTGAAGACCTGGCTGTGCTCATGTACACGTCTGGCACCACTGTGAGTGGCAATGGCACCACTGTGAGTGGCAATGGCACCACTGTGAGTGGCAATGGCACCACTGTGAGTGGTGATGGCACCACTGTGAGTGGCAATGGCACCACTGTGAGTGGCGATGGCACCACTGTGAGTGGCAATGGCACCACTGTGAGTGGCAATGGCACCACTGCGAGTGGCGATGGCACCACTGCGAGTGGCGATGGCACCACTGCGAGTGGCGATGGCACCACTGCGAGTGGCGATGGCACCACTGCGAGTGGCGATGGCACCACTGCGAGTGGCGATGGCACCACTGCGAGTGGCGATGGCACCACTGCGAGTGGCGATGGCACCACTGCGAGTGGCGATGGCACCACTGCGAGTGGCGATGGCACCACTGCGAGTGGCGATGGCACCACTGTGAGTGAGTGGCCGTGGCAGTATATGAGAGGCGAGCTGATGGAAGCAGTTTAGGGTAAGAGGCAGCAGGCGTGAAGCTGATCCCATTGTCCCGGGTGGAGGAGTGGGCCGCGCAGAACCCCCAGGAGCACATCCCTCCCAAGGCGGAGGACCTTGCCGTACTCATGTACACGTCTGGCACCACTGTGAGTGGCAAGGGGCGCAGATGAGGGTGCGTGGGTGGGTGGGTTAAAGTTGTTCAAGGTAAGATGCCGCGGGCGTGCACTGAGCTCATGTACACGTCTGGCACCACTGTGAGTGGCAAGGGGCGCAGATGAGGGTGCGTGGGTGGGTGGGTTAAAGTTGTTCAAGGTAAGATGCAGCGGGCGTGCACTGAGCTCATGCACACGTCTGGCACCACTGTGAGTGCGCACAGGGGCGCAGGGGCGCTGGAA